ACTTATTCTTATTCTTTTATCATCAAAGAAATATAGAGTGATATCTCCTTTAATATATTTTTTAATTATTATTTTAATATAAATTTATTTATTAATTTAAGTAAAATTTTATTATATATTATATAATAGTGATATATCAAAAAAAATATTAAATTAATGCCTAATAATCTAACATATGATCCATTGATAGAGTGCATATTTGACAAAAAATAGTGAATTTAAATTTAATATTAATAATTTTAAATGATATATTATATATTTTAAATAACTAGACTGGCTCCATACATGGGTGAATAAAAATTCATCTAAACATGATATAAATTTGACGATTGAATCTAATACTACAAGAGCCGACCCTACTCAATCTTAGCTTCGGTGATAAAATGTCACATGCTGCATTATAAATTATCCATTTTCTAATTTTCTAATTTCATTCTCATTGTTGTTGAAAAAATAAGTTATTTTAAATATTTTAAGACGTAGAATTGGAGAAATATCTATTTTTGTTTGGTATAAAGAAAGTATGCGGGTATTTTTGAATGACAGGATTAAAGTGAATTGAATATCTAAAAATATATTATTTTTTTATTTAATTTAAATTCACTTAGTTGTCATTTAGATAAGATTTAATTAAATTAATAATTACCTGTGCCTGAAGGCATTCTTAATACAAAAAATGCACTAAACAAATGGGGCATCAAAAAATGTCTAAAATAAAAGAAATGCAAGAGCTAAAATGAAGAAGAATCATATCACATTAATACAATCTGAGAATTCCAATGAACTTAAACTAACATCGTTATAAAATTATCCTATCATACATTTCTTTATAGCCACTTTTCTTTCTACCAAATGAGTGTTCATTTTTTTAACCTCTAGTTAGATCTAATGAATAAGTTGTCTAGTTTTAATAAGAAATATCATTAAGAACACACACAATTATATCTTTGAATCAAATTAAATGAATCAATCACATTGAACTACAAATCAAATTTTTAAAAATAAAAAAAGCTCAACTGAATTAACATTTCTAGCAAATTTGCTTATAACTGTAAGTACAATTGACTTAAATTCTTTGCCGCTGTGACTTTTCGGATGCTATAAAAATATTATCATGCTCCAATTAAACCAAATCAACAAAATAAAAATTTCACCACTTCAAAAAAGATTGATTTAACTGATTTTTTTTGTCGTTTTCGTTGTCTATTCAGCACTATTCAAGTATTCAAAAAAATATGAACATTAGCAAGGAAATCTGATGCAAATAAGGAAGAAAAAATTTATAGTTGGGTTTGAAATTTTTTTTTTGTGCAATTGGTTTCACTTATTTTTTTATTAGTAATTAGCTTAATTTTGAATTTTTTAATTTTTTTTGTGCAATTAATATCACTTGTTATTTTTTATTGGTGATTAGTTTGACTTTAATTTTTTTTTTTTTAGCACAATTGATATCACTTGTTTTTTTTTATTGGTAATTAATTTGGATTTGAAAGTCAATAACCTAGCAAATTTTTTAACATTTTAAATATTTTCTCATTTATAAAATCATACAAATGTATGTTTTGAAAAAAAAAGTTCAATTAGGATATCTAGACAAACAATGAGAGAATATTAGATAGAGAGAGATAAAGATAGAATAAAAGTTTAATTAGTATCATCAAAATAAACAATACTAAATGAGAGAGAATATGAGATATATATATAAGAGTTGAGTGTATGAGATAGAGAGAGAGAGAGAGAGAGAGAGAGAGAGAGAGAGAGAGAATTATGAGAGGTGTAAGTTTTAGAGTTGTAAAATGAATAAAAGTCCAATTAGAATCGTTTGATCAATAATCGTCAAGCGATCTGAGCCACGAAAAGCTCAATACAAACTTTTCTAACTATTTTATTATATAGACATTCAATCCAAACACATTCAACTGTCATCTGAATATGATATAAATTGGTATATCTAGTCATTTCTCTTATTTGGGTAGATTATATTTTTTTTGTAGGATCCATAAATAATAGTGATATAATTTATTCTCATCGATTATTATACATATATCTAGGGATGTCAATGGACTAAAGCAGGGGTGAGGAGTGTAGTCTCCATCCCCGTACCCGCTTAAAAAAACTTTGTTCATCCCCCGTCCACCCTTATTAATGGGTATAGTTTTTATCCCCCCTCCTGTTCGCGAGTAAATTTCTAATCCTTACCCCTGTCCTCGCTTCCCCCGTACCCACCCAAACCCAAGCCTAAGCCTAAGCCTAAGCTCAAGCCCAAACCCAAGTCATTCCAAAATGTTGTTCATTCTTAAACCCACCCCTAACCCATTTTGAGGGATTGCATTTCTCAAACTGGCTCATGAAAGAAAGGTCTTGCAATGTTGTGAAGTTAATTCTTATGTCTTATCCTTTCTAGGAAGGCCAAAACCAGAGCCAGACATGATTATTCAAGTAATCAATAATAAAAACATTATCTTAATTGCAGAGGTTTCATACTGTTAAAAAAGAACGACTTTATTGAGAACTACTAGATGTTCTATTCTGTCTTTGGTGCTCATCTGTGCTAAGAGTAAAGAGGGAACTGAAGATTTAACAAAAAAAATTTCTGGCCAACTTCAATGGGGACACTACTGGAGAGTTGATTTACGTTACTGAGGGATGTCGATATAACTTTTCATTCTCGTTGAACAAGAATTGTGTGATTTGTTGGAACTATTTGGTAATGCAAGTTGTGAAATGGAATAGCAGGAGGATGGGGGAGGGAAACAGACTTCACTAAAAGCACTGAACAATGGTAAGAGATCTGGAATGATTGTTCCCAAAGGAATTGAAGGAAGTGGGTGGAAGCATGTTGCGAGACAATTTGTTATGGTTGAAAATAGAGGATTGAGGTCTATGGACATACATCAGCGGCGAGCAAGTAGAGGAGACAGAGCTGAGTGCGATGGAGGCGGCCGACTGACAGAAGAGAGTAAGTTAGGGTTGATAAGTAGGGGCGGGGACGGGGCGGGAATAAGGGTAAGTTCATCCCGCCTTCATTTTTGCACGGGTTTATACAGATATTTTTGTATACATCCAACGTCTAATACGTATAATTTATCCTCAGTTCAAATGAGACGAATTTGGACGAATACCTATTTTTTCCTGGTCCATTGTCGTCCCTACCCATATCCTATCAAATCCATTACCATGTTTATTTCATAAATTAGTCTCCAACTCATTCCAAATAAAAAAGTAAACTTAAACGTCTATTTTTTTGAACACCTCATTCGAATATAAAATAACTATTTTTAAATGTATTATAACCACAAAAAATACACATCATCAACCATTAACAACATAAAATGTTTACAAAATTAACCAAGAATTTCCTATCCGACAAAAAAATGTGTATGGATTTCATATAACTCATGTAGGTAGATTAAGTTAATTTCTCAAATCAAGTCGAGAAAAATTTTGAATGAGGTTTTATATACATTTTTTAGTTACCAAATATGAGATATATGAATCACACGTGAATTTTTTATCCTATCTTATCATAAGTATTCACCTTTAACCGGTGATCTAAATATATTTAGAAAGTCAAGAGATAACAAGAATAAATTGTAAATTCAGACGTCATGAGTACGAATATTGACAATTTTTTGAGGACAAATCATAGAATTTCGACATGAATGACTTTCTTTTAATCGAATAAAAAAAAATTATTCAAAATGCATGTAAATTAACCTAAAAATTCAGACCGTGACACAAAACAAAAAAAAACAAAAAAAAAAGTGAAGGTCCCATCGAGTCTGATGAAAGAAAAAAAAAAAGGTCCCATCGATGCACCCAACTTCATCCGATCAATCCTATGGACTCAATTTTTTCAAAGTCACATACTCGATTCCTATTAGTGGTGGACCCCACTAAGTGAGTCCCACCACCCTCCCCACCTGCCCCGAAACCACACTCAGCAGAAAAAAACCATTCCGGGGTTGGTGAAAACCACTTTCTGTCTCCTCCTCTCTCCTCCAACTATAAAGAAAACACCACTTCACAAAAACGCGTCAGAACCACTTCATACCTAAAAACTACCCCACCCACAAACACCATAAAAAATGCCTTCCGAACAACCCCCGCCGCACTCCGCCACTGTGCCACCAAACTTCTGGGGCGACATGCCGGAAGAAGAGTACTACACCTCCCAAGGCCTCCGCAATGCCCAGTCCTACTTCGAAACTCCAAATGGCAAAATCTTTACCCAATCCTTCATACCCATTGACCTTCCCATCAAGGCCACGGTTTACATGACTCACGGCTATGGCTCAGACTCAGGGTGGCTCTTCCAGAAGATATGCATAAACTTCGCCACCTGGGGCTACGCCGTCTTCGCCGCAGACCTCCTCGGCCACGGCCGCTCCGATGGACTCCGTGGCTATTTGGGAGATATGGAGAAGATTGCTGCGACGTCGTTGTCGTTCTTTGTGAGTGTGAGGGAGAGTGAAACTTATAAGCATCTTCCTGCTTTTCTGTTTGGGGAGTCCATGGGTGGGCTTGCTACGATTCTCATGTACTTCCAATCGAAGCCAGAGACATGGACTGGTGTGATGTTCTCTGCTCCACTCTTCGTCATGCCCGAGAACATGAAGCCATCCAAGGTAATGTTACATACAATTTAATGATCTATTCCCCCAATTAGTGTAATATGTGTTTTGATTCATCTGTACGCTGAAGGTAAAAAAATTTCAAAGGAACAGATAAGAAAATCAAAAAGGCCAATTCCTCCAATTCATACATCTTAACTTTGGGGGAAATTTCAAGTTGTTTACATAATTTTGGAGATATCTTCATGTTGGATTTGATGGAAACATTCGGCTAAATTCAAGAAATCTATAGATTTTTTGAATCTAAATTCGAGCTAGAAACTAGAAAGGGGACAAGTTTAGGAAATCAAAAAGGTCAATTCCTCCTATTCTACTTCGTACTTAACGATTTTTCATAATTTTCAGGTGTCTTGAATACTTTTGAGAGTAAATTATATATGACCTTTAAACTATCATCTTTTGAAGATCTGAATTCTCTAATTGTTAATTGAATCCTTTCGTTTGTCTCCCCGTTAAACTTTTTAACAGAAATTGGCGAAAGTTTCCACTCACGGGAGACAAATGGTTGGAGCAAATCATAAATATAACCCTCAAATTATAATTTTTATGTCGATTAAACCTTGGATTTTTTTATGTGTCATTTAACCGCTTAAACTCTCTAATTGTAGTAATTGATTCTTTTTGTCTTTTTGTGCCATATAGTCATGTGAGTGGCACACGAGACGGATAGATGGGCTCAATTTACAAAATTAAAGAGCCCACGGATTCAATTGACACAAAATTCTCTAATTGTGTCGATTAAGTTTTTTGTCATATAGCCATGTGTGAGTGAATATATATAAGGGATTAATTGACACAAGTAGAAGGTTCATAGATTTTATTGTAATTTACTCTACTTTTAAGGAAACCATTCTGCTAAATTCTAGAATTTAGCAAAACTTTCTTACAATGATTTTTGTTAAGTGTGAAAGCAAGATGTTGATTTTGATTGATAAATATCAATAATTTACTCCTTGTAGGTGCGGCTGTTCATGTATGGACTTTTGTTCGGAATGGCGGACACATGGGCATCGCTGCCGGACAATAGAATGGTGGGCAAGGCAATCAAAGACCCGGAGAAACTGAAGATCATCGCCGGCAATCCGAGGAGATATACAGGGAAGCCAAGGGTCGGGACAATGAGGGAGCTAGCTAGAATGTGTGAGTTCGTGCAGAACAATTTCCACAAGGTGACCGTGCCCTTTTTTGTCGCGCACGGGACCTCCGACGGAATCACTTGCCCGTCAGGATCGAAGATGTTGTATGAGAAAGCAAGCTGTGAGGACAAGACATTGAAGCTGTATGAAGGAATGTACCATTCTCTTGTACAGGGTGAGCCTGATGAGAATGCCAATTTGGTGTTGGGAGACATGAGGGCTTGGATTGATGAGAAGGTTGAGAGGTATGGTCCAAAGTGTAACGGTAGCTAAGCTTTGAATTGAGCCCTCTATGTATGTGTGTGGAGGGGTGGGCTATGGGAAGGTGGTGAAGAAATGGGCACAAAATGTAATATTCTGAATTATTATTGTTTTATATATATTTTGATTAATTAAAAGAACATTTACATAATTTGTCAGAATGAGCACGTTATGCTCCTTGTATGTTCTGCCCTTACCCTGATACTTCAATCCTCGTATGCGTGTAACTATTGCACAAGTATTGTTATGAAAGCCAAGAGATTTGTTTATTTAAAGATTTATTCGTAGACCAATTATTAACTTTAGCTGCGCTTGAAGGACACAATTTTTTAGGAGTTGGCGTCGATACAACTTTTATTTTTTTCGGCACGATGCCAAAAAAGTAAAGGTATAGTCGGTACCACAGCAGTAGGACCCCATTTTTTATTCTTACTTAACCTCAACACCTACCGCACAGATTGGATTGATGCCTACTAAGACTGCTCACCGACGTCTATATTTGATTATTGTTTTTTTAACAATAGTTAGTACATAAATAATTTATTTTTATGGGTATATGTGTGTGTGTATCATTTCATATTAGGTTAGGTTTCTAAGAAGACAACAAATCTGGATTAAGGGAGAAAAAACAAAGCAGCGAAAACACAAATAAATGCCACTAGAAAAAGTTTTTTAAAAAAAAAACAACTAAAAATATGGATGAAGCTATTGCATAAGATATTTTTTTTAGTATCACACTAAAAAATAATTATTAGTTATTGATTTTTAATTGATTCATCTGTAATAATTGAAAAAGTAACATAAAATAGTAAAATAATAAAATTTTATACGTGTCATATTTGTGTCGGTTAAAAAGAAAATGTATAGTATCGAAGATGAGTTTTCATGGCATACAGCTGGGCCAAAAAATCATAATCACAAACTAGTTTTAACAAAGATGTAAGGTTTACGTCTTTGCACAAGAGGCAAACCAAGGTGAATGATGCTTTGCAATGCTTTTGAACTTTTGTGGACAAACGGTAGGATAAAGACGAACAAAACCAACAACCTTTTTTTTTTTTTTTTGGGGCATTCAGCTAAAGCACACGTCGCCAATGTCTAGATAATCTTTCAAATTCAAAGGGAACCTTATTGATTACGACAATGCTTTATCTCAGATCAGAGGTTCATAAAGGTTAGAGGTGTTAAAAGGTATTCGGGCGGCTAATTCTGACCTGAGTGATGCCTAATGGGCTCAACTTCTTATGGATGGAATTTACAACCCGATTAATTTTCCTGCGCTATTCTTGTGTTTGTTGCCGCTCCCAACTATAGGTTTGTGGTGTTCTTCAGACCTGAAGATCCATGGCCCAAAACTCAACCCGATTCTTTGTATTTCTCAGTAATTGAGTTCCATTGTCACACCCACTAGACTAAAATACAAAGCCTAATGTCATGTTAGCCTCTTGAAACATCACCCAAATAAGGGGATCTCGAGATTTTTTTTTTCTTGACTAATTAAGAAAATTGGACCTAAAACTGAACGAGATGCAATCAAATCCAATAAAATTAAGGCTGGATTTCCAAATCGATATAAGGTTGCAGAACAACGAAGTAATTGGAAATTCAATCCAAAAATTAAAAGATAATACAACAAAGAAGAAGATACATCATACAACCACATGAAATTAATAACCTAGTGGACAATAGAAGCACTCACCCTATCGTAGATGGCCATGTTGCTTGAGCTGACATGATTATCCCCACGATCACGCCAAACAATCCAAGTGCACTACCAAAGATCTCAATCACAAGGATCTTAACAAAAAGTGAAGAGTTTTGAGCATCAGACAAAGCACAGCTACTTCCAATTATTCCAACACATAACCTGAGCCAAAGAGCAATAAAGATTAGGACTGTAATCATAAGCCACTAAATAATGGCATGCAATTCAATCCCATTGGATGGAAATTCAGGCTCACCCGCAGAAAAGATTTGCAAAGCCCACTATTATTCCTGAGGCAAAGATGGCATATCCTGCTCTGAGGGACTCAGGTTCATAAATATTGGATGAGGAGACACTTTCTAGCTTTGTTTGAAGAATGATAGCCACAATGACTCCATAAATAGCAACAGCCTCACAGAAAATTACACTGAGAGGACAAACAAAAGATTTCAAAGTTTGACCACCATCAGATGTGGTATAAACATGCAGAGAACATGGAGAAGTAGAAGAACAAGAAGCAGCAATGCGAAGCTTATAAAATGTTGTAATTAATATTCTCCAAACTGATGTAGGATATTCACAAGAATAGAACAGGAGATTCACTAAGATCAGGAGAAGATAGGAAGGAAGACATGACCCAAAACTTTGCCTTGATCCAAGACTTGATCGTTTCCAGATACAACTTATAAGCAACAAATCATCATCATTTAGGCTGCATCTAGGACAACTGAACAAGATTTCGTCCAATACATTAGTCAGCATTATTTGGAAACTTGATTAGAAAATGCATAAAAAGAGGATATCATCATCATATGCATTAGCAAGGATTATATTGGTCAAGAGTCTCATGACTTTTCTACTAGTTACCAGAAGATGCAAGTTAGATAAGATAGCAAAGTGGGGAAACTATGCCGAGTTTACAAGGCGTATAAAAAGAAAATATATCTTCAAACTGAAGAATTTCTAATGTTATATAGAAACACCAGACCGGACTTCAATTGACTTCAGCCTGGAAATGTCACTTGAAAATTTTGGGGAGCGGTTCTTGTGTTTCCAGCACAGACTCACTTGTTTGACTAGCTACTACGTCATCTAAATTCAAGTGCCAATTTTGTAATAACTGGTTGAAATCTTTGGTCAAACAATTCTCCTAACTAGATTTCGGAGTTGGCGCTTTGAGAATAACTACGCCACTTACTCAGAGATTTATTCAACTGATACAGGGGATGGAAAAGCCAGTAGCTGGGAATTTAGTCTCCATACTATTTTCCCTCCAAAATGCTTATCTATTCAAGAATTTTAAGATTTCATATTCTTATGTAACCTCCCTCTATTCCATCTTTTCCATCAATTCTATCCTTGAAAGCATTAGAAAAGAAGAAAAAAAGGAATAAGGTTTGAAGATACCTTATGACGATGAATTGTGTACCATAGTTATGGAAGCACGTACAACTCCTCCTTGTTATCACTCTCCCAATTTCAATGTGCTGTATTTGTTCTCCTAACTTATGCATTGTGTCTACTGTGTGGATAGAGTTACATAGGGGCATAGACAGACTCATACAAACACAACACTGGCTCATAATTCAAGATCTAGGCCTTTTCTATTCAGATTGGATGTGTTCTCCTTGACATTAATTTCCTATTTGATTAAGCACTATACTTTTTAATGCTAAACCCTTGTTTTCGGGTAAATCCTTAAGCCCTACTTATTCTCACCTAGTTTACACCGCTCTTGGCAAGTATATTATATCGCAATTGAGACTTGACACATTATACCTTTGTTCTTAAAGTTTGAATTGATAACCTGTAATCATAATATGAACCTTAAAGTAGAGTGGACATTTTCAGTGTTTTGCATCAACTATTCATTTGGAGGGGAAGAGTAGAGCAATGTTAATTGTAAAATTAAACCAGGATGGACTAAGTAAAGGAATACGTCTGATGTGTTATGTGATTCATATATATCTCTTAAGTTGTAAGGTAACTTTTACATGACAACCATTAGATAACTGACAATACTTTATGATACATATTTTTGGCCAAGTAACTCAAAAACTATGAGTTGTGGAAATGAGAATGTTAGGATAGCCATGCAATTAAGAAACAATATGTCAAAAAACTAAGCAGAAAAGGGAATATTAGGATACTTCTGCAATACTAGACATGATAGAATTATGAAAGAGTATATTGGTGAAACCATAGAAGTAGGCCCAATAGCCATCGTTTAAGTGCAATTCAAGTGGTGCATATTAACAGTTGGACTTTTCTAAGGTACTCGTGATGATAATACTTAGCCGCTTGTTCCGTGATGGTGCATTGACATGAAAGTTTCTAAGAGTGGTTCCAAATTTACATTTGCAGATGAAATTGTATAGCCAACAAACAAACAGGTAACTCTCAATCAATCAATCAAGCTACATATTATCAAACAAAACCATTTCAAAACGAAGAACATCCAAAACAAGTACAACACTGAACTTGGGAGAGTGAATTTCAAAAAAATTACCTGATAAGATTTTTGGATGTGATTCTGGGGGCTTTAATAGCAGCTCCAATCAAACTACTTCCGGTTATATATATTCCCCTAACGAATTGGTCCGAAAACAAGATTAAAAGGTCAATTTTAGCAGACAGACAACAAATCAAAAGAACTACAGCGAATAGAAACCATGGCGTATTGTGGATGTGAGAGAAACTAGAGAATTATACCAAGCAGCGCCGAGAACAGAAACACCTATGGCGATTGCGATTCCGATGGCGGAGAATGTGTACGGAGAGATTCGCACCAACGCCAGAGACCATGAGCTCGATGAACCCACCATCGTCGCTGTACTACTCGGCATCGATTCAGACACAGATCGATTTCTATGCATGGAGAGACGAAGATAAATGGCTTGATTGATTGTAGAGAAGAAGATAAATGGGTTGAGTAGAGTAACCCGAAATTAGGACCAAATTAGAGAGATATTTTGAAACGGGCTTGACCCGCGGTGGCCCTGAACGTGGAAAACCTGAAAATTTTAAAATGGGCTTCACCCACAAAGGTCCTGAATTTAGAAAATAGGCTTTAGGTGGGCTAACTCAATATATCTATGACAGAACCATCCCACATCCATGAGTTATATTTTTTTTGGGCACGGTGAAGCCTCTAAACTCGATCATAGGATTTGATACAATATACTGTGAACAACAATGTTACCTGAAAAGTTTTAAATACTAATGGACTTTGGTCTAATGATACTCTTTATATTGTGAAAATTTTATCTTCTTGAGGTCAAGAGTTCAAACCTATTTTTTCTCTATCATCTCCCCCCTTCCCGTCCAAAAAAAAAAAGACAGTTTTAAATAGACTCATCTAACGTCCACTAATATCTCTTTGAAAATCATTCACATTCTATCATACATTCAGGCATGAGTTTCCCCTAATGAAATTAAAAAGTAAACTTAAAAATGTGTACTTTTTAATCACAACAATTAATTTCATTATCTCTCTCTTGTATCTATCTATATGAGCAATATTATTGGTATATAATTTAGAGACATAATATATTGTGACCAATGAATTGATAATGAAATGCATTTAATGCTATAATGGATCTATATGTAGAATTAGCATTGGATTTGTGTGGGTTGAATTGTTTTAATATTTTTTTATTGCTAATCTATCTTATAATTTATTGGTTAATCAGAAAATCTTGATTCATCTGGAACAAAACATTGTAATGTGCAAAATGGTATCTATTATTTATATGTGAATCCTTTATTTATATATGATGAATGATTTATCATTGAATAAAATTATGTGCAAAAGTAACAGAGAGAATTTAAATTCCATATTGTAGAGCTATGTTCTTATTGCTCGTCATGATATTCTTTAAGCAGCATTGATGTGTGTTGGGGAGGGGAGGGGAGGGGAGGGGAGGGGAGGGGGGGGGGGGGTTAAGGACCACTGTGGGCCTCATGCGCCTGTTTGGCTATCAAACAACAGAGCTTAAAGATCACGAGGGCCACACACACACACATATATATATATATATACTTTGCAAAATACAAAGTTTGGCATATGTGTCATGTATATAAGGAAATCATTTGGGCAACTTGTTTTGTACCTGATTTTTATTTGGTCACTGGACAATCAAGGAAAACAAATGAAGTCCCTAGACTTTAAATGGGGTTACAATTAAATTCCTTCTTGTCGTATTCATCATCTGATATTATAAAGGGAAAACATCTCACTTTTTTTATTTATTTGTAAATTTAACTTGTATATTTCTTCGCTCACAATTACATATCATAAAGACTCGAGATGTTCATGTAATACTTTTTTTTGTTACATTTGCTACAGAATTTGAATGGTATTGACTTAATTGTTTAACTGATATGATGAATGGGATAGTAATCAGTCCTGGCCTCAAAGAGGATATCAATATATCATGACCGTGAGAGAGAGAGAGAGAGAGAGAGAGAGAGAGAGGGGGGACAAGCTTCATTAATGCGATATTCCACCCAAGGACACATTGTGAATCATTCTCTGGTATATAGAATACATAATTCATCACAACACCCCAATAGAATGAAAGGGACTGCTAACAGAAACCTCTCTCTCTCTCTCTCTCTCTCTCTCTCTCTCGTCTCTCCTTGTTCGAGATACCAACGGTCAATAATGGTTCATCCTCCCGGACCACCCATCTCATATTTCTTATGTTATTCCCAAAAAACACCCACTGTTTCACAAACCCACCAAACAAAATATGTGGTGCCTATACTTTTCTCAGGCTTTTACCCTTTTATCTGCTAGTAGTAAATAATAAGATAACTACATAACACACGATTCGAGAAATGAATTTGATTTGACTATAAATAATGCCTTAAGGGAGAAGAGATTTTATATGGCATTCACTTAATCCTAGTTGAGTTATGTCTTAGAAACCACACACAATATTACTACTTGTAAAGCTCTCTCTATTAGTGGCCTCTACTACTACTACTAGTTCACAAAAAATGAAGAAGCTAACCTTATCGGAATCTGCCACTTTTACCCGCAAACCGACTCCGTTCGCCGCGGAATGCTGGTTTGATGATGCATGTATTCTCGACATGGACTACTTTGTTAGAACTCTCTCTGGCTTTAAGGCCAAAGGTGTCCGGCCTGACCTAGTTGGTTCCATCATAACCCACTATGCTTCTAAGTGGCTTCCTGAACTATCTAGCAACGAGGTGGCGGCGGCATTAACCGCCGTTCAAGAGACCCCGGAGAGCGCCACCGCTTCATGGATGAAGAAAAGGTTTTTCGTCGAAACCCTGGTGGGAATTCTCCCTCCTGAGAAAGACTCCATTTCTTGCAACTTCCTGTTAAGGCTACTACGCACCGCGAATATAGTGGGCGTTGAGGGTGTTTATCGAGCTGAGCTTGAGAAACGGGTTTCATGGCAACTAGATCAGGCCTCACTCAAAGAGCTAATGATACCATCATTTAGTCACACTTGTGAGACATTGTTGGATGTTGAGTTGATTCTTCGATTGGTTCAGAGGTTTGTGAATTTGGATGAGGCTGTTAGAAGTGGAGCTGCATTAATCAAGGTGGCTAAACTTGTGGATTGTTACCTTGCTGAAGCTGCTGTTGATTCGAATTTGACGTTGTCGGAATTCGTTGCTCTTGCCGGAGCTCTTCCTGGCCATGCCCGTGCAGCAGATGATGGTTTATACAGAGCCATTGATACTTACCTCAAAGTGAGTTGCATTATGTCATGTTAATATTAATTTGTCCCATTATTGCATAGTACTCATGGCTAGAGCTTTTAACTTCATTGTTCATTACAATTTAGCTAGGGGCTAAACCATGGTTCAAAGTATCCCTTGATAGCCGAGTCATTTCTAGAAGGTTCAGTTGGCTTGTGGTTGACTCGGTGACATGTAAATGGACGAATTCACCCAATTTTTTGAGTTATCGTCATTGAATCGCAATGTATCCGCTGATACCATTATGTGATACAAGAAAATAGCATGAGCCTTTTGTCATGCCCAATTTTTCTAACATTTTGTGCATATCATTTGATATGCTTTGCGAATCGTGACGCCATGACCGATGCGTGGATGGAGATCTTGAAACATGGGTTGAACCCATTCTTAAGACTAGGTATTCAATGCAACACTAATATCACTTTAATATTGATGACGTAATATTATAAATTAATAATATATAAACAAATAAGAAAACAAATCCTACACAAGTTAATAATTATTCGTCTATGTAAACTAAATAACTACCAAATTTTCTTTTATATACATCAATAATTACTCAAGTGAGATTTATTTTGTCCATTTAAAATTTTATTATTAGTAGGTGATACCATGTCATCAATACTAATATGGTATCACCATTACATTAAATATTTTCTCACGGCCGAGGAAGAATCTGTCCAAAATACCAAAAAAACAGTAACTTTTGTGAGGTTAAATCTTTTTTCAGTTGAGAAACCCATTTTCTCTTGTAAATCTAGCTACCTAATACCTATAATGACAGGCACATCCGGGGGTGTCAAAGCATGAAAGAAAGAGCCTCTGTAAACTGATTGATTGGCGAAAACTCTCACCTGAGGCCTGTCTTCATGCAGCTCAAAACGAACGCTTGTCTGTTCGAGCCGTAATCCAAGTCCTCTTGTCCCAGAAAACAAAGCTCAACTGGCACATTGACTGGAGTGGCTCCTCCTTCAGTGGAACCCGCAGTCCAAACCTTGGGGTTGAGCCCCCTGCTCGGTGCCTTTCGAGGCGCGAAATGGGTACTCAACAGATTGAAATAAAGAAGCTGAAAGATGATGTGCTTAGGCTGCAGAGCCAGTGCATTGCCATGCAGGTACAGATTGAGAGATTATTGGAGAAAAAGAGAGGGTTTTTCAGCTGGAAGAAACTGGGAATGCCTTCAGTACTGAAAACTCTAAGTGTGGGTAAAAAGATTGAAGTGTGTGAAGGAGAAGATGAGTTTGAGTTTGAGTTTGGGAGACAAACGCCCGTGGATGTGAAGAAGACCAAGCTGGTACGAGCAAGAACTACTACCAAGCGGAGGAACTCCATGTGAGGTTCATGTAACTTAACTAATCCTGTGTGACATGTCTGTTAATGTTGAGACCTGTACTTGTATACCATCATGCATGTACTAAGAAATGTTGTAAGGTTGGAATGGTATTCCTATTGTATTTCTCTAGATGAAGTTGATTTGGAATTAATTATCCGCTATCAAGTTAATGTAAAACGATTTGCAACAAGCTGTAGACATTTCAAAAAGAGTGATTTATCAAAATATTGTTTTCTACATACATGACATGAGATTATTTTCAATCTAACACTTCTAATGTAGAATTTTCGTATTAACCTTTTCTTTGGCGATTCCTATATTTCATACATGCAATTTTTGTGCCATAATTTTTTAACTAACAAAACAAAAAATATCATGAGAATTTTCTGCTGGTAAAAAGAGATCATTTGAAAATGTTTTGCATAAACAATTTATTTTCTCATTTTTCTTCCATCTCTTATTCCCTATACTCCACCTCCTGGCCTAATAATTAAAACACAAATGTTAAAAGACAATCCTGAGGTAAAGATCTACAAAACATAAAAACATGGCCCATGGCACCATAATGTTTAAACTCTCAATCTCAAAATTTGGGGTTAATCGCAAATTACACTTAAAAAATTTGTTCGAATTTTAATTTATACCATTAAATATTAAAAAATTCAATTTACCCCTTCAAATATATAAATTTGTATCAATGCGCACATGAAATTAACAGCCTTTAGTTTGCCGCCTAAAATTAGTTGGATAAATTACACCTACACCCCTTCAAGTTTGTCACTTAATCATTTAGACCTCTTACATTTAAAGTATTATTTTTACATCTCTTGACGTTTGTGCACGTGTAACACATAACTCATTGTCGTTGATATTTGTTAATATAACCGTTAAAAAAATGATTTCATCCTAATAAAAAATTATAATTTTTAAACTACCCTTTATTTTATGGGTCCATTATACTCTAAAATTCAAAATCAAGTTTACCATTTGAATACTTAATATATAATGCAGGTATTTATATAATGTTCTTTATATTCAATGAAATACATCAATTGAACATAATTATTTAGATGTTTAATTGAGGGAATATTTTTAGTCATATTTAGATTCTCAAAAGATGTAGGTTTAATATTTCAAATGTGAGGGGTCTAAGTGATTAAGCGATAAACATGAGAGAGTTTAGATGTAATTTTTATTTATTTAGTTTTAGACAGCAAATTGACGACTTGTTAGTTTGAGATACACATTGATACAAATTATTATTTTTGAGGGTATAAATTAAAATTTCTAATTTTTAAAAGTATAAATTAAAATTCGAACAATCTTTTAAGATATAATTTGTAATTAACCCTAAAACTTTAGAGGGATGGTAACATTTTAAACACCCCGCTTAATTCAAGCATTACTGTCCACAAGACAAAATCCCTCACCCCATAAAATGCACAAGGCTGGTCATAAATGAGAATCGAAGACTTTGACAAGTGGAGGAGAACCCCTGAGATTTTTGTGGCAATCTTTGGCGCAATCACACTTTGTACTTTAAAAGAATTAAGAAATTTTTTATTTTGTATATTCATAGAATAAATTTTTTATATTATACCAATGTATTAAAAATGCTATAATGTAACACTTAAATTAACGTCCGTTGTTTATTCTGTCAAAAATTTTCACATTGATGCTGATAGAATGAAATAAGCAACTAAAATTAATCTTTTAAGGGTGTAAAATAAAAAATTTTAAATCTTTAAAAGGTACAAAATGCAATTCGGCCATTCTTTGGGCTATCTTTTCGGAAGTGTAAATAGTTTCTCAATTGAATTGTAATTTGTACCCTAATTATTGGTTATTTTAACCTTTGTGGTTGATTGTCCAACGGTGTCGTATAGTATTCCTAAATGTACAGTTACAGCCGATAAATCATGGTTAAAGGAAAGAGGGAAAAAGTTTTTGACCGTTAAACCTCAGCCAGAGCAACCGAAAGCAAACCAACATGCTCTGCACCTCCAAAAATGGCGGTCTCTGCTAAAACCCCAACAATCCCTCTCCACCAAGACCATCCCTACTCTTGTCCGTCCAAAATTCACAAGCCCAAAGTCCTAAATTTCTCTTATATCCTCCAAACCCACAGATTTTCACTCAGAAAACACCATGAAATCTCAGTCCTCAGTCCCAATTCCATCAGTGTCACAGACCCAAACTCACACATACACGAACTTTGCCTTCAGGGTCACTTAGAACAAGCAATAAAACATTTAGAATCAATCCTAGGCCCCGAAATTAATATCGAAGAAGAAACTTTTATAGCTCTTATTAGGCTGTGTGAGTGGAAACGAGCAGCTAATGAAGGGTCGAAATTATACTTGTATATATCGAAATCAATGAACCGGCTGAGCCTTAGACTTGGTAATGCTTTGTTGAGCATGTTTGTGAGATTGTGTAATCTCGGTGATGCTTGGTATGTCTTTGGGAAAATGGAGGAGAGAGATGTGTTTTCTTGGAATGTTTTGGTTGGTGGGTACGCCAAAAATGGGTACTTCGATGAAGCTTTAAATCTGTATCATAGAATGCTATGGGTGGGGATTAGACCTGATGTGTATACTTTTCCTTGCGTGTTGAGGACTTGTGGGGGTGTACCGGATTTGCAAAGGGGTAAAGAGGTTCATGTCCACGTGATTAGGTATGGTTTCGAGTCGGATGTTGATGTGGTTAATGCTTTGATAACTATGTATGTGAAGTGTGGTGATGTGGGTAGTGCAAGGGCGGTGTTTGATAGAATGCCTAAAAGAGATAGGATTTCTTGGAATGCAATGATTTCGGGGTATTCTGAGAATAGGGAGTTTTTGGAAGGGTTGACATTGTTTGTTTCAATGCGGGAATGTTTGGTTGATCCAGATTTGATGACCATGACTAGTGTGATCGCAGCGTGTGAGGAGCTTGGTGATGAGAGGTTGGGGAAGGCAATTCATGGGTATGTGGTGAAAACCGAGTTTGGGGCTGATGTATCTGTTGATAATGCATTGATTCAAATGTATTTGAGCTTTGGCAATTGTGAGGAAGCCGAACAGGTTTTCAGCAGAATTGAGACTAAAGATGTGGTATCATGGACGGCAATGATTTCGGGTTTTGAGAATTATGGATTGCCTGAAAAAGCTGTGGAAACTTATGAAAGGATGGAGCTTAATGGTGTCATGCCAGATGAAATCACTATTGCTAGCATTCTATCTGCGTGTGCTTCTTTAGGGCTTTTAGATATGGGTATTAAGCTTCATGAGTTTGCCAAAAGGATGGGACATATATCATACACTATTGTCACCAACACTCTCATTGATTTGTATTCGAAGTGTAGATGCATTGATAAGGCTTTGGAAGTTTTCCACTGGATTCCAGATAAGAATGTGATATCTTGGACATCAATCATCCTTGGACTTCGGATCAACGACCGAAGCTTTGAGGCGTTGATTTATTTTAGGCAAATGAAACTGAGTTTACACCCAAATTCAGTTACCTTGGTCTCTGTCCTCTCTGCGTGTTCTAGGATTGGATCTTTAATGTGTGGAAAGGAGATCCATGCTCATGCATTGAGGAATGGATTAGGGTTTGATGGTTATCTGCCTAATGCACTCCTAGATATGTATGTAAGGTGTGGAAGGATGGGGCCTGCATGGAACCAATTTAACACCCAGAAAAAAGACACAGCTTCTTGGAATGTTTTGCTGACGGGATATGCCCAGTTGGGGCGAGGAGCACTTGCTATTGAGCTCTTTGATAGGATGATAAATTCAGAGCTAAAGCCAGATGAGATTACATTTATTTCTCTATTATGTGCTTGTAGTAGATCTGGGATGGTGACTGAAGGTTTGGAGTATTTTAATAGCATGGAGCATAAGTATAATGTTGCTCCAAATCTGAAGCATTATGCTTGCGTAGTGGATTTACTTGGACGTGCAGGAAAACTGAAGGATGCTCATGAGTTCATACAGAAAATGACTATAAAACCAGATCCAGCCATATGGGGAGCCTTACTGAATGCATGTCGGATCCACAGGCAGGTTGAACTAGGGGAGCTTGCAGCTCGACACATTCTAGAAATGGATGTAATGAGTGTTGGGTATTATGTTCTCTTGTGTGATTTATATTCTGACAGTGGAAAATGGGATGCAGTTGCAAGATTGAGGAAGATAATGAGTGAGAAAGGGCTTATTGTTGATCCTGGATGCAGTTGGGTGGAAGTCAAGGGAAAAGTGCATGCCTTCCTCAGTGGTGATAATTTTCACCCTCAAATAGAGAAAATAATTGGAGTTTTGGATGGATTTTATGAGAAAATGAAGTCAGCCGGTTTCAGTGAGCCAGAAAGAATCTCTGTAGGTGAGATTGAAGCTTCAAAAGCTGAGCTTTTTTGCGGACACAGTGAGAGATTGGCTGTTGCATTTGGGCTCATAAATACTGTCCCTGGGACGCCTATTTGGGTGACAAAGAATCTCTACATGTGTGAACGCTGTCATAATACCATTAAATTTATCTCTAAGGTTGTTCGGAGAGAGATTTCTGTTAGAGATACTGAACATTTCCACCATTTTAAGGATGGTGTCTGCTCCTGTGGAGATGAGGGTTACTGGGAAATAACTTGATAAACTGAGCAGCGAAAGAACTTCACCAGAAAATACAGGAATGCAACCCCAAGGTTGTGGCACAGCAAGTGCAAAATTGGGCAATTTATCGGTCAGTTAAAATTGAAGTGGAATCACATGTTAGGAGAGAGAGAGAATCATGATAGTTTGGGAGCAGTAAGCAGTCAGATACAAAGACATGTATCTATTTGCTCATCCTAAGTGAAGAGAAAGCATCTTCTTCTTTGCCAGTATCCACTACACCAGCTGACATGAAAATGCATAGGAGTTTAGTGGTTTGGTGCCACTGGAAACTCAGCTCTTGAATTGATATTATTGGTGACGCGTGGGTTTATTTCAACCGCCTTCTGTGAATGTATACTTCTACAGAAATATCATGCTCACACTTCAACGTGCTTGAATGTGGAAGTTGGTGTAGAAAGTTGGACTTGCTTGTGCTAGCCAACATGCTTCTACTTCCCCCAGAATTGAGGTTGTTCTCCATTTGAAGAATTCATTTAGTGTTTAGAAATGAAGACAAACAATTTTGGATGAAGCTCAGTATATCCAAACTCCTATTGTTTATGTTGAACAAATCATCAGAAGACAATAGTACGATGTAAAGAGAACTAGATCAAGGGTCTCAATATTTTGGTTAGTGTACTACTTATGCTGACAAAGACATCATTGTTGAACACTTTGCCTTTTGTGCATGAACATAGAAATTTTCATTTCTCTGTGGGGTTTTTTTTTGGGCTCTTGATTTCCTACTAAGAGTGACCCTGTGAAATACTCCAAGCCACCCAATATTCCTTGTTATGATATTCTTAGGGGCTTAGAAATGCAACTTACATACAGAAAACAATTGCTTATGGGTGCTATGTTTACATCACATGATATCTAGCATTAGCTTAGGTCTTTCATATAGAGGGAAGGTAGTTTTTAAGTTTTTGCAGCCAAATAACTGATATAGTCTTCATTATTCACTGGACAAAAGACTAGAAAGAAACTCAAACTGCACTTATCTGATCAATCAACAAGCAGTTATTGCATTTGTCAGAACCCAGATTCTGCGCTCAAATTTTCCAGCTTGAGTAGCGCGGTTTCCTTTTTCCTATTTCCATGATCTTCGATCTATTATTCTTAGTTTTTCCCACCCTTATTCTTCTCTTGAAGTCTTTGATGGTTGTTTGCCTCATGAACCAGTTTCACACCACAGCAATACAGACTGTGTCTCTTCATTTTTGTTGTTACGGTCTGTTTAGATTTGTGTTGACTATTCGCTCGAGTTTTGAGATCGGTACCTATAGCTTGAGCTAATTTAAAGACATATTCCATAAAGAATATTAGTGGTTGGCCCGTAAGAGGTGTTGGAAGTATCGAATCTGAACACTCTTACTTGCAAGAGGATATACTTGACCACTCGACCACCCGATTATACAAACTGTGTCTTAATTTTTGAACAGGACTGATAATTAAGCCGAGCTACTTGAGTTCGGTTTATATAGGACTCGACTTAAACGAGTCGAGTTTAAATAATTTTTTTAAACTTGTTTAAAAAACGAGCTTAAAAGACTTGGCTTGCGTTTGTAAAGTTCAGTTCGTTTATATGTAAAATAGTCGAGTTATCAGGCTCGCCTCGGGTTCGACTTATTTTTAGGCTTAGTTTAGATTCAGTTTATTTACATAACGAATTGAATTTAAATAATTTTTTAAATTTGTTTAAAAAAATGAACTCGACAATATTGGTTCAAACTTGCAAAGATCGATTCGCTGATCGGCCTACTTTTGAAGAATTGGTTTAAATGGCGTACTTTCTTGGTTACTCTTTCATTGTGTTATAACCGGCTCACGGTGAAATATTATTTTGATTAAAAACATATTCTTACTTAGAGTAAACCAAAGAAGAATAGAAAAATTAGTATTAGCTGGATATTTACCTTTTGGATAGCAGCAAAAATGTTTGATATAGATTTGATAAAAATCAAGTCTAGCCCCATAGATAAACCATTAATCATGATCCTTCTTGTTAATGTTGAAAACTGATGATTGGAATTTTTCTTGTTTTTTGTCGGACACAATTACCAGAAGGTGAACGATGAAATTCGAATTCGTGGCTTTACCACTTACTTCAATAATTAGAAATTATTGATTATTTTTCCCACGATTTAAAAGGTTAAAAACTTATGTGCTCATAAAAAAAAGCCGTTAAATATTTATACCAACACTTGATTAAGAATAACAAGTTGTTATACATTATTTGTTGAGTAGTTTTCTCTTTTCAATTTGTTTACTTGACAAATCATTCGTCATTAATAAAAGTGATCCACTTACATCTTGAATTAACAATATAGTGAATGGGGTTTCACTTTTCTTTCTACGGTGATCGTGAGAGTTCATATAAGAGAGAGTCCATGAAAGGCTAATTAGGTCTCTTAATTATGTCGGGTGATAAAAATTCGTATCAAGACGTATTTCACTCATACGGATTTGTTTATTAATTCGTGTATAACGAATTGTATCATAATCTTTGGAGGTAAAAAATTTTCACAAACTCTTTGCTGGGTAAAAAAAGATAAAAAAAAAAGAACCATGAAATTTAGTATGTCCTATATAAGAAAAGGAGGAAATTGTGCAAAGGTGCACAAAGACATCCTGTGGCCTTTCGTTGCCACTGACAAACACATAGTGAGATGCTACGACAAGGCGAGGAGTCGCTGCTAGTCCGTCTCTTCGTCTAGATGAAGAGCTGATTGTGCAAGTCATGATCCAACTATTAGTTTTCTTCAATTACGTTTTGTCCGAGCTGGAGATAAAAAAGACGTATTTGATGAATGAGATTTTCGTTTTTGTTATTTAAAAAATGTTAAATATATATAATCATACTCCTACAAACATAGAAATTATTTTCGTGATTTAAATCCGTGACCTCTAAGTTTGAATGAGATCTATTATATACAAAAATGTCATTCATTTTTACGAGATAAGTGATTTATTATTAACAAAAATTAAAAACAAAACGCATATAAAAGAGGATTTAAATTCAATTCTATTTATTTTTCTGTATATTAATAAGGACCACCTCTCCAATCAGAGTGTTTAAAGGACATCTGTTCAATCAGAAAGTGACCAGTGGTCCTATATAATTGATTTGATTTGTTGCTTGGGGTCCTTCTTCCCCTTGTTTTAGGTAAAAGCATTATTGGTTTCATTTTGTCAAGTAATGTCCACCTGCCCTTTTCCACACCAAAGGTATATTAATGGAATGAGTGGAATCAATATTATTATTATGTGATATAATTATTTAAAAGTAATAATTAAATAAGTGAGGTATATTAATGTAAGGATTAGTATCATGTGAATATTATTATGTGATATAAATTATTTAATAAAAATAATTGAATAAGTGAATAAAATAAACTCCGCTCTTTCAAATAAAGATTCTCCGTATAAATTATGTGAATAATGGTACACTAACCCAAAAAAGGAGATCAAAAATAGAGAGTGAGATCCTCTCCAAACACTTTCTCTTTTAATTTAATTTTTTGTGCATTATTTATCATATATTTAAGTGAGACTTATTATATATAAGTGGATCCCCACTCATTAATGATGAATGATGTGTCAAAAAACAATTGAATATAAAGTATATAGAAGATAATTTGAATTCTAAAAATAAAAACTAAATGATATGATATTAACATAATAATATTATTTGTTTCACATTTTCACATTTAATATTTAAATTTTAAATTTATCTTATTATGATAATATCACATCAATTCATCCCTGTTTTTTTGTCATTTTTTTTGGGGTAATCTCCATCACTTTTCATAAATAATAAATATTAAGTAAAACATACATAAATTTATAATATTATTAATATAGATGCAAGGACATATCAAATTTATACATTTTTCAAATCAACAATATTTCTCCATAGATCAAGTGTTACATTATACTTCAAGGATATTTGGCCCCCCAAAAAAAAACATTATATTTCAAAGGAACATGAGTGGTGTAAAATCAACATGACCAAATAAAAAAGAGGAAGGTGAAATTAAAAAATCCTCATAATAACAAGGTTGATAAAATTAAATAAATTAGTTTTGGATATAAATTTTTCAATGAGTGAAATTTTCTCTAATATATTATTTTTAATTTTTTTTAAAAAATAATTCAAGTTACAAGGTAAATTTTGAAAAAATTATTAAAGAAAATTTAAATTCCAAAAAATAACATCTTTTTTATCCATAAAAATTTAAATTTCAATACTATTGAGACATAATGAGTTATCACAAATGAAATAATAATGAATTTATTTAATGTTACAATGGTACCTATAATTTATTATTATTTTATTAGTGATAATTTATTATCTCTTTAAATTATGTCCAAATATCATTAATATAAAAAGAAATAAGGACCCGTGATCTTATAATCCCCATGCTCCTCCTCCACCATACGTATCCAAGAAAGTCAAGGCACTCACTTGGCAGTCGGTCACCATGGCGGAAGAATCACCGGACAACACCACCCCACTCCTACGCCGTCCGTGGTGGCGCGAACGTGTCACCAACGTCTCATTCACCTCTTCTCTCCGCCTGAAAACCAGTATATCCTCCGAACTCAGCGGCGCAGTAGGCGACTTGGGTACTTACATCCCAATAGTCCTCGCTCTCACCCTCGTCTCCAACCTTGACCTCAGCACCACCCTCATCTTCACAGCCCTCTACAACATAGCCACCGGCCTCCTCTTCGGTATCCCCATGCCCGTTCAGCCCATGAAGTCCATCGCCTCCGTTGCCATCTCCGAATCCCCCCCCCTCACAGTCTCCCAGATCGCCGCCGCCGGCATCTGCACTGCCGGTACCCTCCTCTTCCTCGGCGCCACCGGCCTCATGTATTTCCTCTACACCTTCATCCCCCTCCCCGTCGTCCGCGGTGTTCAGCTCTCTCAAGGCCTGTCCTTCGCCTTCACCGCCATCAAATACATTCGCTACAACCAAGACTTCACAACCAGCAAGTCCACCACTGCCCGGTCATGGCTCGGCCTCGACGGTCTTATCCTTGCCCTTGTCGCACTTTCATTTCTTATACTCACCACAGGCTCCGGCGAAATATCTGACAATGATCCTGAACTACCCATTAGTCCATTGAACCGTTCCCGAAATCGTGTTCAACGTAGATTACGGTTTTTATCGGCCATTCCAGCTGCTCTTATTGTCTTCTTACTCGGTCTGGTCCTGTGTTTCATTCGAGATCCATCGATTTTTAGTGATATTCAACTGGGTCCATCGAAGTTTCAGGTATTGAAAATCACCTGGGAAGATTGGAAAACTGGTTTTATTCGAGGTGCGATACCTCAAATTCCTTTATCAGTATTGAATTCAGTAATTGCAGTGTGTAAACTGTCTGCTGATCTGTTTCCCGAGAAGGAAGCTTCGGCCACGGTTGTGTCAGTGAGTGTTGGAGCTATGAATTTAGTTGGGTGCTGGTTTGGGGCAATGCCGGTCTGCCACGGTGCCGGAGGGTTGGCGGGGCAGTATAGGTTCGGTGGCCGGAGTGGCGCATCGGTGGTGTTTTTGGGGTTAGGAAAATTGATGCTTGGATTGCTTTTTGGGAACTCTTTTGTAAGAATTTTGAATCAGTTTCCAATTGGGATTCTTGGGGTTCTTTTGTTGTTTGCTGGGATTGAGTTGGCTATGGCGTCAAGGGATATGAATAGTAAAGAAGAGTCTTTTGTGATGTTGGTATGTGCTGCTGTGTCACTGACTGGATCTAGCGCTGCCCTCGGGTTTGTCTGCGGGATTGTGCTGTATTTGCTTTTAAAATTGAGACAGCTGGATTGCTCTGGTTTTGGGTTCAACTTATCCAAGTCTAAATCAAGTGTTGATGAACAATCTAGTCTCAACCCTTAGGAGATCTTGGAGAAATTTATATTGTAATGGTTTTCATTCTTAATCTTATTAGTTGTGTGTACGTATGTAATGTACTTGTGAAAAATTGTAACCATTAGAGATGTTATTTGATCTGTTTCAAGAGAAACATAGTAAAATTGTGAAACTGTCAAAGCCTCAGATCAAAGATTTGCAACCTAAGCTTGATTCAATAATTTGTATTTTTGGCAATGCATTTTGAGGCTTGAATTTAGATTTCTTCAGCTATTCACAGCCTATATGGTTATATTTAGAAATTAGACATGATCTAATTTGGTTGAAGAATATAGTTTTATCTTTCCTTTTCAAGATCACAGATATTTCCAGGTGAATGCTACACTAGGTACTGAAGTGGGTGGCAGATTTTACAAGCCTTGAAGCCCAGTAGGCTGCTATACCTCCCCTGCTTTTACCTTCGGTGAGTCTAGATATTGGATTCTCTGTTGTTAATTTGATAGGTATGTGTATTGTGAAGACAAAAAATTGTAATTTATGGATAAGGTGGAAGAATATCATCTGAATGAACTTGGCCTCTACCAAACAAAAAGTCTTAAGGAAATCTATGGTGACAAAGGCAACCCCATAAAGAATGAACTTTTGGCAACACCCTAATTTTTAAAATTGAGGTAATTACACAAAGACAAGAAAGAAAAGGTACTGTTTGTTGCCAAACTCAAATAGTGGCTGCTTGGCCATCATATGATAAGCTTTGCCTTTATTTTTATGTCTTTGGTCACAACTTGCTTCTAAATATTGGAAGTAGCTTAATAAAAATCATAGTTGTGTAGCTTATTAAATGTATGGCGATTGGATCTATTGAAATGTAATGCAAGGGCCATTTTTATGTATCTGGTCCACTGAATTCGTCCAGACGCATGGCACTTAGTCTATCTGTATGACTGAACCAATGGATCTCAAAGACAAGTCTCTTGGACACAAACAACAAAATGATTTGGTTAAAACAATGAAGGTTGCCAATGCTTGAGGTGATGCCTTTGATTATTCAATTAGGCTGTAGCTGTCCTTGCTAAGCTATGAAACTTTGTAAAAGCCGATGCAATCAAATAAAAATTCTGGTTTTTTAGAGAGTTTTTGTTTTGTTACATCACGTCATTATCTATTGTCAACTGGTATCTTTATAAAGGAACCTCAATTATATTTGTTTCCTAGAACCAAGCAAGAGATAACTTACATGGAGACTCTGTGCCTAATTCGCAATTTCTTAGCTCTGGCATTCTTTATGCTTGTCTTGACTACAGTCACAACTTTGTTTTCAGATTTTGAAGCCTCAGATGAACCTGATGAATCTAGGAATATTTGCAAGTAGGACCGCTTCCTTGAGGTTCAAAGAGAATGCAACCCTGTTTTATCATTAGCTTCAAAGGTGAAACCTGGAAATGATAATATTTATAGCATTGCTAAGCTCCATTTTCAGAATGGAGATTGGGTACAGGAGGCTGGTGGAGCACCAATGATGCCATTTGATGACAGTGACATGCCAAAGAACTTCTCGGGTATTGGATCTCTCCTAAGATTGGCTTCTTTCTGGGTGACGGGCATTGATTTTGCCCATCAAACCGAAAATGCAATTGGTCTCTGCGGATTGATGTTCATAGGCATCACAAGAAACAGGTCACTGCATTACATGCCACAATATTGGTACCCATGGTTCCACAAGAGCCCTGGATATTCTGATGACTATCCAATTTGAGGGCTTTTATGTAGAATCTGAAGAAAATGGAGAACACATGTTGTGCTTGTTAGGAACTTCAATGTTCCCTTTCGTGGGGCCTTTTGCTGATTTCTCTGAATGGTCAACAAGCCATAGCTGTAAGACAAACCTACAGTCTCCTTTCATAAAAGATGATCAGCTCATGCTTATACTTCGGTACCCCAGGAACTTCACTTTAACTACCAGAGCAGTCCTCGGTGAAATGAAAAGTCTGAATGAAAAGTCAGATCCCAAATATTTTGATAAAGTCCATATTGCTTCCCAATTGGACTTTGATTCAAAGTATCTGTTCATTTCAGAACAACTCGAGTCCAAAGCCTGCAATCCATGCCCATACCAAGATGATTTTATAGATGGTGGGATTCAGAGGTTTCAAGGGTCTCGAATTTGTAAAGTCTTGCGCATGTTTAATTCAGAAACGTTTGACATTGTGTTAGTGTGCAATGGCTTGAAGCACTGCAACAATTTAGGCCCTTTCATGGTAGGAAGGGAGATTGACAGAACCGGTGGTATTGTCGACAACTTCAGGCTTATGATCACGAATGTGCATTGTGTGCCAGGTCGCAATCAAAATATGCATGGAACTGAGAAGGTTTCTGCTGTTTTTAGAACTATCTCTCCCCTGGAGGATTGATATGCTTCAGGAGCAAGAACTGGTCTTTCTGAAGCGACTATCTCTGCAGAGGGAACATGGAATTCCTCGAGTGGGCAACTTTGCATGGTTGGTTGTGTTGGGCTTGAGACTAGTTTGGATGGATGCAACATCCGTATATGTTTCTACTTTCCAGTCACATTTTCAGTCGCTCAACGGAGCATCCTCTTTGGAACCATCTCTAACATCAAGGAAACAGATTCATATGTTCCTTTACTGTTCGAAAACGAACTCCACCCTATGGAACTTTGGAACCGGTACAATGACTACAGCAAATCCTATTTATCTTACAAGTATTCGAAAATAGGGTTGGCTAGTGCACTTGTGAAGACAAATGCAAATTTCAATTTGGGGGCCATAATGAAGAAGATGTTCCTCAAGTATCCGGCTGTCGAAGATTGTAATAACATAACTAGTCTCTCGCTTTTATCCAGTGAGCTAGGTTTTCAGGTCCATGCTATCTCAGATCCCTTGTCCAATAACCTTCGCCTTGTCCAAAACACAGTTGTTGTAGTAGATGTCCTCTCTTTGGGCCCATTGTTGGGTCGTTACTGGCCTGATCTGGAGCACTCATATCAGAGGGAGGGTACTGAACATCATGCTAATTTTTCGTCCACTGATCGTAAGCTGCCTTTGAATATTTCAGCTCATCTCACTCTCACCGAAGAACACTATGGTCATATCTCAAAGCTATTTCTGGAGGGGCTCTATGATCCAGTTGGTGGAAAGATGTATCTAATAGGCTGCCGGAGAGTCCCAGAATCTCAAACATTTCTCTCCAACAACAACACGAGCCTTGAAAGAAAGATGGACTGCTTGATAGAGGTGAAGATAGAATACTCATCCATAACCACCCGGTGGTTAATAAATCCAACTGCCAAAGTCTCGATTGCCAGCCAGAGGGGTGAGGAAGACCCCTTCTATTTTAATGTTGGAGATATAGCAAGACCCCCTCTATTTTAATGTTGGAGATATAGCAGCAGTCTAGTTTATTAGGATTTTATTAAATTTTTTTTTTTACCTTTTTGTCCTTGTTGTAACTTTCATTGACTATATATATGGGAGTTCTACACTTAGTTTGTATCCTTTTCACTTACAATTATCTCAAGTTGGTATCAGAACCTAACCCTAACCCCCTGCTAAACATCGACACAACCACCATCACCTTCAACATCAACACACAGCCTGCAACAAACACAGCCTGCAACAACAAACCGACTGCCAAACCATACCCAGCAGCACCGAAACATCCTACCCACCAACCGCAACATAGCAACTAACCTACACCGACTGCCAAACCAGTGCACACAACAAGCACTGATTGTCAAACCATACCTAGCAGCACCGACTACAGCGAAACATACCCAGCAGCCTTCACATATAGTCAAGCCTTGGGCCAAGCCAAGCCTTTAAATATTTGATAGAGAAACCCCAAAAGCAGAGGTCCTCTCACCGACAAAGCAGCGACGAAACCAACCATCGACTGCCCATCTTTTTCAGCCCATCCACATATACTGACTAGCAATCCAATATACCTCCACTCCACCACTGACTAAACATATACCCAGTCAAAACCCAAAACAGCCCACTCATCAACCTACTTCTGGGTCAGTCCAAACCAGGCCAACAACCCAACCACCCAATAAACCGAATTCCTACTATTGGGTCATTGTCCAGCCCATTGTTGGGTCGCGTTTTTTGTTGTGGCTTCGTCCTATGACTTTTTTAGGAGGAAACAGATCCTCTTCTCCAGTGATTTGCTTTTGATGTAGCAGATCACTTATTTATCTTTATTGGATTTCTAGGCACCGTGATCTGATTATTTGGGAGCTTTCTGNAGTGTCTAGCCCATTGTTGAGTCGCGTTTTTCGTTGTGGCTTTGTTCTAGGATTTTTTATGAGGGGTTGAATCCTCTTTTTCTCCGTCTGTTGATTTGCTCTTGATGCAGTAGATTATTTATATTTACCGGATTTTTGAGCACCGTGACCTGATTATTTTGGAGTTTTTTGGACCTTCTTTATCTGTCACTACTGTTCGACTGGAGGTATATTGTCCTCCCCTATTTTATCCTTCTATTTATCTTAGAGTTGTTTTTTTTCTGTCATGGGTGCTCTAGTATTATTGTTGATATGACAACTATTACTGAGGGACTTGAGACCCCTACTGTTGACATCTCTACCGTTGAGACATCCATAGGTACTTCCACTTTTATGTTTGACCAGTATACAGTACCTACTAGCATAGTTGCATTACCAGCACTACCGGACATGATCTCTCAGAAAATTACGGCACAGTTGTTGAATGGTTGTAACTTCGCTGAGTGGTCTCGCTCATTCCAGCTTTTCTTAGGCCGTGTAGGGAAGCTTGGTTGGCTGACGGAATCTCACCCAAAGTCAGTTGATACCAACCCTGGATATTCTGTGTGATTCTCTAAGAACTGCGGCATTCTTGGATGGTTATTTGGCTCGATGGAGCCATCTGTTTGTAGGATCCACCAGTTTCATAGCTCTGTTCCGAAGCTATGGAGCGCATTATCAAAGATGTATTCTTAGTCAGGACGGAGAGTTCGTGTTTATGAGCTTTCTTAGGAGCTCTCATATGCTCGACAGGGAGATATGACCGTTTAGAATTATTATGGTTATTTGACCCAGCGCTAGCTTGAGTATGAGACTCTACATCCTCTTGATGCTATTTCGAGGATAGAGCCCGAGGGAGCAGCATTCTTACATACTCGAGAGCATGAGGATAGGATTCACAAGTTCCTTATGGGGCATCGTGATGAGTTTGAGGGATCTTGTTCTCAGATCTTGTCGATGTTGACACTTCCTTCTCTTTATATGGTGTATGGGATGATTAAGCAGCATGAGCGTCGAGTCCGTATTGGATCACTTCTAGTTGCGGCTTTGACTTCTTCGACTGATCAGATGGTCCTTGCAGCTGCTGCAGGGTCTCGTTCAGAATCCTCAGTCAGGGGTGGGCAGCGCTCGGACTAGCGCTGTCAAGGTGCCCCAAATCAGCACAGACATGAGGATTCTCGTCAATGTGATTATTGTGGCCGACCAGGACATCTTAGGGCTACTTGTTGGAAGCTCCATCCAGAGCTTTAGCCGCCTTCTCGCAGCCGTACTATTGTTATTGCTGAGGTACCACCATCCACTACCGCTACTCTTACGACTGCTCCTCCTTGGCAGAGTGATATGGATGTTATCACTTCCCGATTAGATATACTTATGTCTGCTCTAACTTCTTAGAGTCCGACTACTGTTGTTGCCACTACAGGTATACCTCGTGTCTTTCATGCTTGTGCTAGTTCATCTCCTCTTTGAATGTTGGACTCGGGTGCGAATGGTCACATGACAGGTGCAGCCCATCACTTCATCACTTTTGACGAGCAGTTACATACACAGGTTCAGTTAACAGATGAGACACATGCCCCTATTGTTAGTAGGGGTACAGTCCGCCTCCCAGATGACTTTACATTACGTTCGATTTTTCATGCGTCAAAGTTGGCCATGAATCTATTATCTGTACATCAGTTAGCAAGAGATTTTCACTGTACGATTGTATTCTTATCTGATTCGTGTTATTTGCAGGGCCTGAGTACCAGGAGGATTATTATCAGGGGATATGAGAAAGATGGACTGTATTATCTTGGCAATCTACCTCCAGTTTCACCAATTCCTCCACCTATATCACCTGCACCTGCTTTGTCTTTATCTGTTCCTATCTTGTATGCTAGTATTTTACCTAATAGTTGTCGTTATGATTTTTCGTCACAAACTGTTCAGTTGTGGCATGACCGTTTTGGACATACAAATTTTAAATATTTATGTATGTTGTTTCCTGCTTTGAGCAATGCTTGTGTTGATGGTAAACCTGACTGTGTTATATGTTCCCTATCGAAACATATTAGGGCCAGTTATATTCCTCGCATGCACCAGTCACCTAAGCCATTTGACCTAATACATTCTGAAATTTGGAGACCTTCTCCCGTTACTGCTCTGTCAGGTACCCGATACTATGTGATACTTATAGATGATCATACCCGTTGTACTTGAGTCTACCTTTTGCATCGAAAATCTGATGTACTCCCTATAATCACTCAATTTTTACAGATGATTAAGACACAATTTGATATTATTGTTCATGCTCTTCGTGCGGATAATGCCAAAGAATATGTGTCTGATGCCTTAGTATCCCATCTTTCTTCTCAGGGTATTCTTCAGCAACTTACTTGTCCATATACTCCTGAGCAAAATGGTGTTGTTGAAAGGAAAAATAGGAGTTTGATAGGGATGGTACGTTGTATGCTTAGAGGCATGAGAGTACCAAAATCTTATTGGCATTTTGCTGTTTTGACTTCTACCTTTCTGTGCAATCGTATGCCGGGTCGTGTTCTTCAGCACAAGAGTCAGAGTCATTGGTCACTATCCCTACAGGGTCATCTGTCTCTCCTCCTCTGAAGCCACTCAGCCCTGTCAGTACATAGTCAACAGTCTCTTTTCCTTTGCAGGTGTATGTTCGTCGTCCTCGCTCTCATCACCCTGCTGATGTCCCTTCTACCTCAAACGATGCAGGTAATACTTCTCAGTTTGTTGAGCATATTAATGCGTTTGTTGTTAGTACTGATGAGTTTGCAGGTGTTGAGCTAGTTCCTTTACCTGATAAAACATTATCAGTGGAGGATGATGATTTAGAGCGTCGTTATCCGCGGCGTGATCGCCGTCTAGTTGATCGTTATGGTTGGACCGCCAGGATTTTCTATCTGATCTCTACTTATGTTTCTTATGGTGATTTGTCTCTTACATTTCGAACTTATAGTATGACCTTATCAGATAAGCCAGTTTCAAACAAAAGTAATTTAATAAAACTTAGAGAAAACACAATTTTAATAATCAAAGTCCCATAAGTTTAAACTGAAAATTCATAAAATCTATATGCTTGAAACTATATAAACTTAGTTTTTACTCACAATTGTGCCAAAATTTTTTTAATCAAAAGTCAATTATCTGCAAATATATGTCATTAAAAGAAACTAATTTTCATCGATCACCAACTGTAAAAAAAAAATATATATATATAGAAATTACCACATTGTCAACGGAGTTATAAGATTAATAGTACAAAAAAATCACAAATACATGAACATAGTTTAGAGGTCAATGAAGTCTTAAACACCACAATCATGAAAGAGTCACCATTAAGTACTCAAATATAATACCTAAACATAAATGTATTATTCATAACGGAGGCTATGCTCTAGCAAATTAAGGCACGTATAATTAAAATAAATAGAAGTACAATGATTATAGTAGTTATAAAATGAAACTCTCACAATAATGGACATCGGATATTAACTTCGGTAAACGTAACATTTCATAGATTAAAATATGACAAATACCGTCCTCTGGATCCATATGTTCTTTGCCAACTGTTAGTATCATCAAAAAAAAAAAAATTTGGGAAACTTATAGCCTAGACAAATGCTTCGGTGNATTTGGGAAACTTATAGCCAAGACAAATGCTTCGGTGCACTCAAACACCACCACAGCACTCCACTTGACACCAACTTTAAATAAGTATGATTGAATGTGTGGAACCTTGTGCAAAGAATTCTACTAGTTGATGGTAGGCATAATTTAATGTATTGAAAAAATATTTAAAATATATATATAAGTAATTTTTTTTAAAAAAAATTGAAGGTGGGCATTTGCACCCCTGACATTAGGTGGCTCCGCCCCTGGTTTAACCATTGATGGTATTGAAAACAAAGATAAATAATATCGCTAGAAGAATACAAGGAGACCTCCACAGAGTATGACATGGGCAGAAAGTAAATAATAATTCATTATATAAAAAAGTGATCCAACCTTTCCAGTCGACTGTCCATAGCCAGAGTAAGCATACCTGTAAGAACAGTAGAAAAATTTATAAACAAGCCCCTAAAGATTTAAAATTTTGGATCTCTAGATTAGTTTATAAATACTTCGATTAATTTTTTTTATTTCAGTTAAATAAAGATCATTCTTGTCAGAATTAGGGATTGCTAGGGTTGGTATCCACTTGGATTCGACATAAGTTTGAGGCATACTTCCGGATTCTGGTGCTTTTAGCCTCAGTTGCTTGTGTGCTGAGCCAGTTGCTTTATGTTCGGAAGAAGGTTCATGTCATTCCTTTCATCTCCTTAGTAATGCTTGGTGTTCAGGTTATTGGTTATGGGCTTCCGTTGATTATGAATACTGCAATTCTTATTGAATGGAAGGAGTATCAATATCCTCAAAACTGGTCATCTCTCACTCGAGTAAGGGAAGGGTTTCGAATGCTTGAGAACACCATGAAGTTTCTTTTGCTTATGGCATTTGTGTTCACTTTGAGCCTCTGTCAGAGTGTATGGGAATCTCGACGACTCACTGATAAATCCTTAACTTTGAAGCATAGACCAAGTGAGAAACGGGTTTTCCTCTCACTATGGCTGATTCACACAGTAGGTTTCCTAGTTTTTCTTATAGGTCACAACTTGAAGACAGAAGGTAAATTACAACTGAAAGCTAATCAGAAGCAACCAGAGTGGGTGACCGTACTAGATAAGTACATGGGTCTTGTACTCTTGTTCAAGATTTGTTCTTGCTTCCTCAAATTATTGGTAACTTGAGGTGGGAGATACAAGTTAAGCCCCTGAGTAAAGTGTACTACATTGGGTTCACAGTTCTTAGGTTTCTTCTGCGTGGATATGATTACCTAAGAGATTCTGTTTTCAGTTATTACAACCACAAGCATGAATACAACACAAGCTCAGAATTCTTCCAAAAGTCCGAAGACATACTGATAATGGCGATTATGGCTTCTCTTGCAATCATAGTTCATGCCCAACAGCTCAAACGGAACTTTAACAGGTTCACTTGAATGCAACAGTACAACTGCATGGTTATTTGAAATGAATCCCATCTGATTATAATTTGCTATTGTAAGTGATCTGTAGCTTGAGTGCATCATCAAGAATGATACAGCAGCATATCGAAAAATTTCAGTTATGTTGGTGAATATTTATGCATCACAGTCGATGAATTTCAAAGATTCTGTAAAGCTTGAATGCGAAAACTCGAACTACAAGCTGTATGTTGATGTTGTTGTGAATTTACTGGAGATGTGCCTAAGCTAGGCTTGACTAATGCTACAACTTTAGAATTGATCACCCAAGTACAGGTTATGTGAAATAATAAATTTCGCAAAAATCCGAGGTCGAACCACAGAAAATTAAAAAAACTTAGAACACAAAGAAAATAAAACAAAATTACTTTGAAAAAATTGTCGTAGAGATTATGAAATTATAAAACAATAAATTTAATTTTAAAACAATAATTGAAAATTCTAAAACATCGGGATACCCTTTTAAATTTACACGGTAATTATTAATAATATAGTTTTTGAACTCAATTGAGAATCAGTTGAGGAGTGATTTTAATCGGAATATTTAGTGGTGATAATATAAAAATATCAAAAATTATAATTAGTTTATGAGTTTTTCAACAGGTAAATTTTATTTTATTGCAAATAATAAATCAAATATCTTATAATAAATTTTAATTAATTAATTCAAGTATGGAATAACCAATTATTTGACTTGCAGGAAATCTTAAACATTTGATGTACGTGGCACAACAAATCAATAAATTATACAAAAAAATTTTTTTTACTAGAAGACAAGAATTAAATTAAAAGAATAAATAATACATTAAAAAAAACATTGAATCAATAATATACCATACTTCATTGAAAGTATCTCCCCTACCATAGAACTAAAATAAAAACTAAACAACAAAAGATGAGAAAAGAAAAATACTCATCCTCTCAATAGATGAAAACTTTTATATATACTAAAATAGATCAAAGGTATAGGTAAAAGATATAAGGTTGAATTAGGAAGAATTCCTTTCAAAAAAATTAGTCTTTTAAAATTAAATCTAATGCATAAAATCTTGGAGGCATGGGTNAGGAAGAATTCATTTCAAAAAAATTAGTCTTTTAAAATTAAATCTAATGCATAAAATCTTGGAGGCATGGGTATAAAATCTGTCCAGACTTTGAGCTTGAATTTTGTATATTTAAAAGCCAAATCATGAATTTTTCGTGAAATACACTTTTATATTCCTTAAAATCTTCTTACCAACCCCATAAAAATTAGGACAATTAGATATTACAGTCAAAATTTATGATCAAAATATTAAAAAATTGTCAAATCCTTTTCTTCTACAATACTTTCCTAATCTAATTTTAAATAAGTTTTCTTCTAACTTGAACTCTTATAACAATTAAATTGCTATTTTATCTTCAAATCTTCCTATCTTAATCTTGACTTCTCAATTATTTTTAATTGTTATTCTTCCTCTAGTGATTATTTCACTTGTCTTATCCATTATTACTTTAAATGAATCGTAAACTAAACCAAACAACTAAAAAAAATATCAAACTAAAAAATTAAAAAATTTAACATATTTAATTATAAAATAATATGTAACTAATCAATTACTAAACATAATAAAATATCACTTTTGATAGTTTATCGGCCAACATCTCTTTGTAGGGCATAAGAAATGGAGGCATTATGTTCTTTCTACCTGCCTGCAGAGATGTCCTGTCTGATTTAGCCAAATTCTATATACATAACGTCGAATCTTCTCTCATAAAACAGGACTGTTGGTTTTTACAACTATTGTACTACAACGAACTCGATCATGAGTTGGGCACGAGTCTGCTGATTCCTTTATTCTTTTTCTTTCTTGACTAAACCCTTATGTTCCGTTTGATACAATAAAAAAAAATAAAAATAAAATAAAAAAATAATAAATTAGAAAGATAAAAAATTGAAGGGATAAATAAAACATCATATTTGGTAAGAAAAAAAATAGGAAAGATGAAAAAGTAGATGAATTAATTTTCCTTCCAACTCATTAAAATCAATCTCTCTAAAATCGGAAGAAAAATAGATGAAAAATTAATTATTTGTGTTGAGATGTATGTTATTTATATATATATTTTACATNGTTTTAGTTTCAACTTTTTAGAGATATTTTTTCGTTATATCCCAGTTGTCTTAGAGGATTATTGTAGTACTACTCTACTCACTTATCGGACTAATGCTGAACTTTGTGCAAAGTCATCTCTCCATAGAAGGGGATAAACCTATAGGCAATGGCCCAAGTAATTATGCTTCATGAAATATTCAAACCCCTAAACTATCTCTCATGAGAGGTTTATCAAGTAGTTAAATTATCACTAAGCTAATTCCTTGTGATTTCAGTGATGGTTACGTGAGATTGATTTATGTATTAAAAGTTCTTTGTCTTTTGCTNAATATATTTTAAAAATAAATTTTAAAAAAATAAAATAATAAATAACGATAAACAAAGTAAAAATTTTAAATTAAAAAAAATATATTTTTTTCATCTTAATTAAGGGTGAAAATTTTTGACACAATACGATGACACGACTTGAACTCGATATGAAAATAAACAGGTCAACTGACAACTTGACACGACACAATTAATTAAATAAGTTAAGTTAGACTTGACTAATATTCGATACAAACTCATAATGACTCGACACGAACACGACTCGACTCGATTATCACCTCTAATTTTAGCTAGTACCAAAAACAAAAAAATATCATTTTTATTTTTCATCCATCCAACCAAATACAAAGGAAGAAAAATATATACTTCATATTTTTCATCCTTGAAGAATAAAAAATGTATCTCTTCTACTTTTCATCCTTCTTACTTTTCATCCTCCCTACCAAACGGAGCATTAAGGTAAGACTGTTGAAGAGTATGGTTATTCACCATGATACCATTGCAGCAAGTCTTGTGTTCAAATCTCACCGTCAACTTAATGATAAAAGATTTTTACGTGCAATTAACTAGCACTTGAGAGGGAATGTAAAAGTGTAAATATTTATGCTCCTTTTGGTACGATGGAAAAACGAAAGGATGAAAAGTTGAAACGATAAAAAATTGAAAGGATAAATAAAACATCATGTTTGGTAAGGAAAACAAAGTAGAAAGGATGAAAAAGTGGATGAATTAATTTTCCTTCCAACTCAACAAAATTAATCCCTCCAAAATCGGAAGGAAAGTGGATAAAAAGTTAATTGTTTGTGTTGAGATATATCTTATTTGTCTATATATCTTATGTATACATTAATTTCATATAAAAAATACAATGGTAAAATGTGTATATATTTTTTAAAAAATTTTAAAAAAAAATTAAAAAAAAAATTAAAATTAAAAAAATATATCTTTTCCATCTTAACTAAGGTTGAAAAATTTCGACTCAACACGATGACATAACTCGAACTTGATACGAAAATAAAATGGTTAGCTAGCAACTTAGTACAACACAATTAGTTAAATGAGTTAAGTTAGGTTTGATTAATATTCGATACAANGATGTAATGTGAGAATTAATTTTTGAAAGTGAAAAATAAAAATTTTTAAGTGTAAAATGCAATTATCCATATAAAAAAATATCAAGTTTTTAAAAAAAGTTAGATAAGTGATTCACTTACTAAAAACTCATTAGGATCGGTTAATTAGCTTGACCCATGGGTATCCGATCTGAGAAAGACCANTTACCCCTAATCTTAGTCAGCACACAAAAAAAAATAGTCATTTTTATTTTTCATCCATCCAACTAAACATAAAGAAAAGAAAGTGTATACTTTCTATTTTTCATCCTTGAATGATAGAAAATGTATCCTCCTATTTTTCATCCTCCTTATCAAATAGAGCATTAAATTACATACTTTCTAACAATTTAAGATTTTAGAATAAATAGTTGTTCCACGACAACTGATTATCCACATTGAAGTAGCGCCTTAACTGTGGGATTAAATTATGACAATCCACCCCAAATCAAAACGTCGTAAATTTTGGAAAAAAATATTGCGTATAATCATTACACCATGTCAATAGTGTCATGTGGTGTATCCATCCACTAATAAATAACTAAGTTTGCAAGTGAGTCCCACAAATATTCGTAATCACCTAGCTATGTAATACATAACTATCTCAATGAGAAAAAATGTGTATGATTTTACACATTTTGTAGTTTTTTTATTGGATAGTTACACAACATTAACATTACTAACATAATGTTACTATTACACTAAATATTTACTCCAATTTGGGGCCCTTCACGACCCAGATAATGTGGGATTATGGATGATGGTTTTTTTACTGTACTAGTTGATACCGTCCTAACCCTTCGCTCTCATATCATTTGTACCGGTCCAGATGGGCAATCTACAATATTATTCATTTTGGATTAGGCTGGTGTCGCATTAAAATATGTAATAATGAAAATGTAAAGCTCCATTAAATCAAGTCATTGATTTAGTTTCAACTTTTTAGAGATATTTTTTCGTTATATCCCAGTTGTCTCAGAGGATTATTGTAGTACTACTCTACTCACTTATCGGACTAATGCTGAACTTTGTGCAAAGTCATCTCTCCATAGAAGGGGATAAACCTATAGGCAATGGCCCAAGTAATTATGCTTCATGAAATATTCAAACCCCTAAACTATCTCTCATGAGAGGTTTATCAAGTAGTTAAATTATCACTAAGCTAATTCCTTGTGATTTCAGTGATGGTTACGTGAGATTGATTTATGTATTAAAAGTTCTTTGTCTTTTGCTGGGCTTACGTAGTGAAACTTACTCTAGCATTCAGCCCATGAGCTTGGCCGAAAAACCGATGGACCATCGGATAATGGGATAGTTCACTCATCACTTGGAAGTCCATGTACCCCGATCCAAAAAGAAAAAATTACACTTTGCACCGTAAATTTTTTAAGATTCTTAATTTATACTTTTAAACATTAATTCTTTTATATTGTACCTCAATATCAGCAAATAGTTACAATAAAACCCCCCACACTAACTTTTATTGCTATTTTCATCAATACAACAGCACACGACATAAATAAATTTTACTAAAACATCAATAGAAATTAGTGCGTTACATTGTAATTATTTTATGACATTAAAGGTGTAATGTGAGAATTAATTTTTGAAAGTAAAAAATAAAAATTTTTAAGTGTAAAATGCAATTATCCATATAAAAAAATATCAAGTTTTTTAAAAAAGTTAGATAAGTGATTCACTTACTAAAAACTCATTAGGATCGGTTAATTAGCTTGACCCATGGGTATCCGATCTGAGAAAGACCAAGCGTCGGCCCTATTCTTGGCTAATTAAATATAATAAAAATTTGAACAATATTATTGAGATCAAATTTATTGAACTAATTCATTATAATTTTTAGATTAATTATGGGGTCTATCAAATATTAGAATTTAATATTAATCTAATTATTACAATTAAATAACATAATTACATCAATAAATTAAATTAAATTTTGAAGTCCAAATAACTTTACTCTAAAATTTTTGAGGTTGGTAAGTAATTTTTTATTTTTTTGAACTGGGAAAAAGGGAAAAGGCAATTAATAGGTAATAACTCTTAGAAGTGATGACGAGGGTTTTTTTACCGTGAAATATTTGGTTTGAACTTTAGTTACTGATCCAAAAGAATAGCTTGTTAGCGTAGCACCATCAAAGTCAGACAATAAAACCTCCTTATTCTGATAAATTGAATTTTGTTTAATAACTACATGAAAATTAAGAATGTTCTTAAATAAATATGACTTATTACTGGACCATCAACTCTAACGGAGGGGAGTAGTTGGTTCGATAACTTCTCATTTTCAGCCATCATTTAAATTGAATTTTTATAAATATATATATTTTTTTGGCCAGTTAAATTAAAGGTATATGGAGGGATACTTTTCATTTGTCCCCATATTTTTTTCTAGAACATGTTTTAAGACAGTTAAACAAACGATTCACGCTCCTTAATGTTTAGAGCACGAAGTCCAGTTAAGCTTGTTTGCTGAAATGCTCAAGAGTCAAGATTCGTGTAAGAAAGTACGGCTGTGTTGTTCGTTGAGAGTGAGATAAGTTCTTGTAAACTTGATTGATTAATTACATTAAAGATTCAGGTTAAGAATAAGATGCATAGATTAAGAATAGAAAAAAAATGATAACCCAGTTTGACTGTCATACCCATCACTATTATTTCTTGACTTTCACTCCACCTCTCTCTCTCTCTCTCACTCTGTTTCTATAAGCAGATCCAACCACTCAGTGGGCTTCAACTTCAAGAGGCACCGACGAGAAGACATAGAACATCCCATTATTAAGGTTAGTCTTCCTATGTGAATCATGAAATNTCAGCGTAGCACCATCAAAGTCGGACAATAAAACCTCCTTATTCTGATAAATTGAATTTTGTTTAATAACTACATGAAAATTAAGAACGTTCTTAAATAAATATGACTTATTACTGGACCATCAACTCTAACGGAGGGGAGTAGTTGGTTTGATAACTTCTCATTTTCAGCCATCATTTAAATTGAATTTTTATAAATATATATATTTTTTTTGCCAGTTAAATTAAAGGTATATGGAGGGATACTTTTCATTTGTCCCCATATTTTTTTCTAGAACATGTTTTAAGACAGTTAAACAAACGATTCACGCTNATACATTTTGTAGTTTTTTTATTGGATAGTTACACAACATTAACATTACTAACATAATGTAACTATTACACTAAATATTTACTCCAATTTGGGGCCCTTCACGACCCAGATAATGTGGGATTATGGATGATGGTTTTCTTACTGTACTAGTTGATACCGTCACAACCCTTCGCTCTCATATCATTTGTACTGGTCCAGATGGGCAATCTACAATATTATTCATTTTGGATTAGGCTGGTGTCGCATTAAAATATGTAATAATGAAAATGTAAAGCTCCATTAAATCAAGTCATTGATTTAGTTTCAACTTTTTAGAGATATTTTTTCGTTATATCCCAGTTGTCTTAGAGGATTATTGTAGTACTACTCTNAAGAATAAGATGCATAGATTAAGAATAGAAAAAAAATGATAACCCAGTTTGACTGTCACACCCATCACTATTATTTCTTGACTTTCACTCCACCTCTCTCTCTCTCTCTCTTCTGAACCCTCTTACTCTGTTTCTATAAGCTGATCCAACCACTCAGTGGGTTTCAACTTCAAGAGGCACCGACGAGAAGACATAGAACATCCCATTATTAAGGTTAGTCTTCCTATGTGAATCATGAAATTTACACCAGACCAACTTACTAGATGATTTTGCATCTGAACTTATCACACTGATTTTTGTTATTTTCCCAATATTTTTCTGGGTTCGCTGTGATTGAATTATTTCTGATTGCAAGTTCATAGCTTGTGGGTGAATATCAAGAACTCCCCAAAACCTGTACCCGATTCGTAAACAGAGAATCTGGGTGTTCAATATTTCTGATTTTGGTTTGTGGGTAGTAGAGAAATCTTTTAAAAAGTGGTCTGTTGTTTAGGATTTACAGTCATGAAGGTTATGTCACTGGGTACTTGTCGTTGTACTATGCTTGGGCTGTTGATGTTGCTCTGTATCAGTGTCGTAAATGCAAACTTCATAGATGGAAGAGAATTTCAGCCTAGAAATGAACGTTCTATAACCTACAAGTATGATCGAATCGATGAGGCGAAAAGAGAGTGTGCCCTTGTTTTGAATTCTGCTTCTGAATTAAAACCTGATGATAATAGAGTGTATATCATCAAAGAAGAATTGTCTTTTATGAATGGAGATTGGTGGCAGATATCCAAGGGGGCTCCACTAATGCCATTTGATGATAGAGATCTTCCAAAGAACTCATCAGATGTCCGATCTCCTTTGAACTTGGTTTCTTTTTGGGTTAGTGATGTTAATCGTGCTCATCAGTCCAAGAATTCGGTCAGTCTCAGTGGTGTTCTGCTGATGGGCATAACCCTAGAGGGCTTGTATATGCGTGAATCGGATGGGGGAAGTCCTCATTTTGATATATGGCCCTCTTATTCTCGACTTTCTGTTTCTTTTCAAGGCATTTACACTGAATCGAAAAATGATGGGGAAAGAGTAATGTGTCTGTTGGGGACGGCAATGTTGCCTTCTCGTCAGCCTGACTCTAGTGATCCATGGGATTGGGTAAGGGTATCTGGTGAGATAAATCAGCCGCCTCTTTTGCAAGATGATCAAATTTTGCTTGTTCTCCGTTACCCTAGGACATTTACCTTGACAAACAGAGCTATTCGAGGAACCATGAAAAGTCTTAATCCAAAATCAAATCATAAGTACTTTGATGAAGTCTACATATCTTCTTGGTTAGGTACTTCTGCAAACTATGAATTTGGCTCTGAAAAGATTGTCTCTAAAGCCTGCAATCCATATCCATATCAAGATAACTTCACTAGTGTTGGCATTGAGATATATAAAGGGCTCGACTTTTGTGAAATACTTGAGCGGTTTACTCAGCAACAAGCTTTGACTATTGTGCCAAACTGGAGATGCAATGGCACTGATGAATTTTGCAGCAAGTTGGGTCCATTTGTGTCTGATAAGGAGATAAAAGCCACAAATGGGAGCTTCAAAGATGTTAAACTTGTCCTTCACGATGTTCGATGTGAGAAAATGACTTTTTCAGAGAATGAGGGCTTTACAAGGGTTTCTGCCGTGTTTGCAGCAGTTCCACCATTTGAGAGTCATTTCATTGCAGCACAGAGGACTGGACTTAATAACATGACTGTTTCCGCAGAGGGAATCTGGAAATCTTCAAGTGGGCAGCTTTGCATGGTTGGTTGCCTGGGATTTTCTGATTCAGAAAGCAAAGCTTGTGATTCTCGGATTTGTTTGTATGTTCCTCTCTCATTTTCCATAGACCAACGAAGCATTGTTCTGGGGACATTTTCAAGCATTCATGAGAGCAACAGATCGTACTTCCCTCTATTTTTTGAAAAGCTGGTGCGGCCTATGGAGCTTTGGGATCAGTACAGTGCTGCTCATCCATACTACAAATACTCAAAAATTGATTCAGCTGGTGCAGTCCTTGAGAAAAATGAGCCTTTCAACTTTGGTACTGTAATTAAAAGATCATTGCTGAAGTTCCCCAAAATAGAAGATGCAGACTCGTTTCTTGTTAGTCTTTCGCTTCTCTCAGAAGATCTCACACTTGATGTATCTGTTGTTCCTGATCCAATTCCTCGTTCTCTTCCCCCAAACACCTATGTTCAGATGGAGATTCTTGCACTTGGGCCCTTGTTTGGACGCTACTGGGCTTTGAGAAATGGTTCCAACACAGAAGAGGAGACACCTTACCATGCCAAGGCCGAATACAATGAAAAACAGCTCCTCTTGAATGTATCAGCTCAACTCAGTCTCATTGGAATACCCTACAGCAATTTCTCCGTGCTTTTCCTAGAGGGCCTTTATGATCCACTTGTTGGAAAAATGTATCTAATTGGTTGTAGGGATGTTCGTGCATCGTGGAAGATCCTGTATGAAAGCATGGACCTTGAAGCTGGATTAGATTGTTTAATTGAAGTGGTCATGAGCTATCCCCCCACGACATCCCGGTGGTTAGTCAATCCAGCAGCTAGGATATCCATATCTAGCCAAAGGAATGAAGATGATCCGCTGTATTTTAGATCAATCAAGCTCCAAACTCTCCCAATCATGTATAAGAGGCAACGGGAAGAAATTCTGTCTCGCAGAGGTGTTGAGGGGATCCTCCACATTCTGACACTTTCGGTGGCTATTGCTTGCATTTTGAGCCAACTCCTTTATATCAGAGATAATGTGGAATCTGTTCCGTACTTATCCCTTGTGATGCTAGGTGTCCAAGCTCTTGGGTATGGCCTTCCGCTGATCACTGGTGCGGAAGCTCTTTTCAAAAAGTTGGCTTCTGAATCTTATGGAAGCCCATCTTATGACCTTGAGAAGAGTCAGTGGATCCGTATGATTGATTACACAGTGAAGCTTCTTGTACTGTTCGCATTTTCACTCACTATGAGGCTCTGTCAGAAGGTGTGGAAATCCCGTATCAGATTACTTACACGGACCCCTCTTGAACCACATCGTGTCCCAAGAGACAAGTGGGTATTTCTCACTACCTTGACCATACATTCCATTGGGTATATAACAGTTCTCATTATCCATTTAGTAAACACCAACCAGAAGCCCCTTCAGACCGAAAAATATGTTGACGCAAGAGGGAATTCCCATACACTTAGAGAGTGGGAAACTGAACTTGAGGAATATCTGGGTCTTGTTCAAGACTTCTTCCTGCTTCCTCAAATTGTTGGCAACTTAATGTGGAGGATCCATAGTAAACCACTCAGGAATATGTATTTTATTGGGATAACAGTGGTGAGACTTCTCCCTCATATTTATGATTACATAAGATCCCCAATTCCCAATCCGTACTTCTCAGAGGAATACGAGTTTGTGAACCCGCGTTTGGATTTCTACTCCAAGTTTGGGGACATTGCGATCCCTGCAACTGCAGTTTTCCTTGCAGTTGCAATATTTGTGCAGCAGAGGTGGAATTATGAGAAGCTTAGTCAAACTCTTTCTTTTGGCAAGAGTAAGTTTCTGCCCCTGGGATCCAGAGTATATGAGAGGTTACCTTCTGTATCTGTTGAAGCTGAGCTTGTTTCTGGGGACAATAAAAATGGCCTGCATGAGAAAGAGCATAATGAAGAATGAGATTCCTCTCATTAATTACGGAGTGAGTTGTAAACCTAAACACAAGCTTTGCATTCGTAGAGAAGACGACGCATCCCTTTAAACATTTTCTCAGTTGAGCTTTCTCTAGCTGCAGGTAAATGATGAACTTGGCCTATTCAATATCCTGCAGTTTCATATATTGTAGCTGTTTTTAGATCTCGATTACTGAAAATCGTTTCATCTCCTTTTGACAATACGTCAGATATGTTACTTATTGTCAGATCTTATGGCTACAATGGATTACCTGTCGTTGCTTTCGAAAGCAACACCATTTTTTTTTTTGCAAGTCCTTAAATGTGATGGAGGAATTATGCCTTGAAGATTAATTAGCTGTAAAAATGAAAGGATTTGATTTCCATGGGATGCCTAAGTTCTCCCAAGATGCTAATGTCAAATGTTCTAAATTGTGATCTCTGGTGTTGGTGAATTGGTGAAAAAAGAAAATTAAAGTGATACACTGATAAGAGGTTGTACAAGGTGGGATTAGATTTATGCTGGTGATTTAGTCATGTCCCATAATTTCTCTGAAATCCGCTTTCTCGAAAACAGGAAGAGGGTGCTGCTCGAAGAACAGTAAGAACTCATTGTGCGGGCTATTGCCCTCGAGAAATACATTCAATTGTTTACCTTCATATATAAGAAAATGCGATGCTTGGTATTAATTTTGGTTTCGTCTATTTGGTGATTAAGGTTTTGTTAAGTTTAGTTGAGTGATTTTTCCATGCTGCTGGGAAATCTCTAATCTTTGTACGATTCTGATATCATAGGTTAGTTGTAGATATTAGAACCGTAATTACAAACTGTCCATCCACTATATTGAAGCATCTCAAAGCTTAGGCTTGAAGTTTCAGCAGGATAGAGGCAACATGTCCTGAACCTGGCTATCTATGAAAGATAATATCAAAAAAATATGTGAACTGGGAGCTAAGGAACTGGAGAAGGCTTTTCTCCTTATGTATCATATTTTATTATTTTTTTTAATTCAAACTTAAGCACACCTCGACAAATTTCGTCTCCGATTTGACTAGTAGGTTATCCACGACGAAACTAGGATACAAGTATGGATAGAAGCAGAATTTTATTTTGAGGATGATCAACAATGACATTGACAAAAATTTAATTCAATGAGATCATTCAACGGTCATTGACAATGACAATTTTTTATTTATAAAGAATCTATTAAATTTAATTTTTGTGCAATGGCATTAAAAAAATTATTTTTGAACACAACTCAAAAGTGGTTCATGTCACTATAAAAATTGATTTGTGAGAATCTTTTTTTTTTCTTGTTTATAATGTAAAATCTTATGTCTATAAATAAATCAAGGTCTCAAATAATCTATATAATAAAGTAGCTTACAATTTAAATTTCAAAAGATAAATAAAATAATTTTTGCTATTCCCGGTTGAGATCGCTTTAAATTTTACTTTAAAGTTAATCTAATGACTAATATTAACACTCTAAAATTAATAGAAAAAATAGGTCCTTAAGGATGTGTTTGGAGTAATTTTTTAAAAGTACTTTTAAAAAATATTTCTCATAAATACTTTAAAAAAAATAGTATTTGAAACCGCTCCACCACTACTTCTACCATCACCACCGCCACCAACACCGCAATCGCCATCACCCTCACCACTACCGTCGTTGCCACCACCACTGTCTCCACCGCCACCACTGCCATCGCCATCGCCACTGCCACCATCACCATCACCATCACCGTCACCGCCATCATCGTTGTTGTCGTTGCCATCACCATAGTCATTGTCACTCACCACAACTATCACCGTCTCTTACCATCACCATTGCCGCCCATCACCTCTCACCCCTACCACAAACTGATGTTTAAATTTTTTTATCTTTTCTTTATATTTGTGATTTGATCTTGAACATGAATACAAATATATTTTATTGTTTACCATTTTTTATTACTTTGTGCCTTCAGGCACATAGAATAACTAGTAGTTTCATATAATACCATAATAAAATGAACTATAAGTCAACCTACTACTTTTGATATAAACCATATTTGTGTCCCTATTTTTTTTTTTAATAAAAAAAGTTGTTTGTTTTTTCTCTACATCATCAAAATAATCCAACAAATGTCTTCGTCAGTACAAAAGACACTCATTTATATGATTACATCTTAAATGATTACTAAATATTAAGTTATTGATCTTTTTGAATACGCTAAAAACTTTTTAAAAATATAGTGAGATAATGAAAATTTTTAAAATTTGAAGGGGAGGGGGGCATCGTCCCCTTAGGCCTTCTCATAGTTCCATCTCTGGTGTGGGTGACGGTAATGGTGACAGTCAAAAATATTATAATTTATGTGCATTGCACAGATCGATCACTAGTATGTATGTGTATTAAACTTTTTACAAATATATATTGTGNATACATGATGCTTAAGTTTGTGCTGATTAGTTCCTTGAACTCATTGACTGGTCACTTACTCCCTTGAGCTCAATGACTGACCACCGTAACTTGAGTTAAGTTAAAGCATATCCCTAAAAGGACAAAAACAACTAACCCTAAGAGGGCGTGAGAAGGAAGTATACCTAAGACATCTAATTTATCAAAAATCAAGTTAAACTATTGACCTACTCTTAAAAGTTATGTATAGTAGGAATTGCTTCTCTTTGTACTTTTTTTTTTTTTTATGTTAGATATACCGCTGAATCCTCTGTCATAACCTTTCCCCCATATCTCATGCTGATTCTTTGGTTCCTCTGGACAATACTTGACTAATTTAGGATTAGGGCACCTCGTACGCTAATTTAGGATGCCTTAGATGGACATGGCTGGCAGATATGTGCAACTTTTGTACAGCTAGTTTTCTATATTTAGACGTATTGAAAATTCATCAAAAGGCTCGGTATGATTTTATATCGCCTGTTATCTTATATTGTATTATAGAAAGAGATCTTGTGTTCAATTATCATCGTGATTTTAATTATTTAAAGATTTTTACGTGTTAGATCTAAAATCTAGCTTGCACGTGAGAGAACGTATTGAAATATAAATATTTAAATTATACTATCTCTAATAACCTAAATTTTTGAAATAAATGGTTGTTTAACGTATCATACCGACCCCCTTCATGAATTTTCATTATATATTGTCTGGAGAATATATAATGAAATTTCATCCTAAATTAGCGTACAAAGGTATGCTAAATTAGTCAACTATTGTCCGGAGAATCCAGAGAGAGTCAGCATAAAATATGGAAGAAATATGACAAAGGATTCAGCAATATTTCTGTGGAAATTCTATGGCACTGAAAAAAAAAATATTGGAAAGAAAAGTTATAATTATTTAAGAGAAATTATAATCGATCACAAATATCTATGATCGATCATAAAAAATACGGTATTAATTTCAGTATTCTATGATTGATTATGTCCTTTAAAATTATAACTTACACTTAAAAAAAAATATAGTTTCATCTTAAAAAATTATAATTTTTGATATTGATACTGCCGCGGTACCATAGAAGTTCCCATTATCTATACCATGTTAAACAAACTTGGATCAGTGTAAATAGCAGCCACTCTTTTTCTTCTAATATAATCGGAGTTGCCAAAGGTAGCGAAAATTGCTGGGATTATTTTCACCCCTTAATTTTTTTTATTCTATTTAATAATCTTAGTTCAAATTACTAAGTTCATTATATTTATATATATCTCATTAGTTAGTAAAAGCATCCCATTTTTATAAACTAATTAAAAATTAAATTTATTCAATTTTATTTTAACTTACTATGTAGGCAATGATCAAAGTTTTGTTTCCATCATTATTTCAATATAAAAAGACTTTAGAAGCAGAATAATTTTTTTTTAAAAATGAATAATTATTTTTAAAATATTAGTCAAAATATGGCAAAACAATTCAAAATATTCCAAAGATATTGGTGAAGGTGAACTTAGTAATAGTAACTAATAGAGTGAGCATAGATGATGTGAGCTTAATAGTTTGAATTAAGATGATTAAATGAGGTGAAAAAAAATATTTAAAGGGTGGGAATAGCCCTACTCCAAAAAAAAAAAAAATTGTTACTATATCTCTATTTACTACATATATGAGTATTTTTATCACTGTTCTGGTACCTAAAAGAATGATAAAAATAATTATTATAACAGTGATAAAAATATCCATAAATATGGTAAAAATACTCGCAAATGGGATAAAACACCTAAAAAAGTAGTAATTGTTTTTATATGAAAGAAAAATAGAAGAAATAATTACCACAAATATGATAAAAATACTTACAACAATGGTAAAAATATCCATAAAATTATAAATTATCTACAAAAAAAAATAAAATTTTTTATTATTCCCCTAAAATTATAAAAACACCCATTAAAATAATAAAAATTAGAAGTATAAATTATAATACACAATTTTTTTTTTCGGTACCATAATCAAATCTGATTCCTCTGGCTTCCTTGAGAGATGTTCTGTCAGACTGCAGCTGTTTGGCTACTTGATTCAAACTTTTTGGAATATTGTTTTGGTAAACGGGTCTCCAAGATTAATTAATTATTCGATTAAATTAATTGGGATCCTCTCTGTCCTCCGTGTTATCCAGCAGATTGGCACATACCATGATCCGAAATTTCGACCTAAATTATTATTATTTACTAAAAAATAAGTATGGTCATGGTTTTGTTTTCGACGATCAAACACTATTTGAAAAGGTACATGATCCCCCCAACTAAAAAGGGCTATGATAAAGTCGCTTTCAATGTGTCGACTCGAACGTTTTCAACGCTCGTAAAAAAGGTATTAATTTCTTCTTTCCATTAAATTTCTCAACTGGCTTTGATATTATTTATTATTTGAGACCCATGATGAGATCAATAACAATGATTGATCAAGTTCATATTCTAAGTTTACACATGAAATCTATCTGGCATTTCTTATTGTTTTTCATGGCTAGTATTTGCACTTTCCCATTTGTTCATCACCACCAATA